GCGCTAAAAATCATTCATACTCGTATGAAGATCAGTTACTTAAGAACATCTGTTAGTCATATTACGAATATTATTCATTTGCAATAACATGAAAGAGCCAGAGAAGTATAGACTGTATAGTCAACAATTACTTCGACAATATGGTCCTACCATTTTTAAATTTACCTACATGAAATATTCGAGTTTTTCTTATTGTGGGGTAGAACGATCCATGGAATTTGTTGTCATGAAAAAATAGCGGGGATACCGACATTACTGAAGTAACTGCAAGCAGACCTGAGCTTACCAGGAATGAGATTGTTTTATGTACAAGGGTTGTTAACTATAAGCTCCAATCCTCGGCGGACGTCTCCCTCTGATCTATCTGTTATGTGTACAAACTCCTAAGTGATTGCTGATTTTACTTCAATAAAATACAAATGGAATGTGTGTGATACTCCATACTCCGATGAATTTGTAGCTGACGAGAAGACCCAACTGAATATAATCACAAACGACGTTAGAGACGTACACTCTGCCTCCTCGCAAGTCCTTCAAGATGAGTCGGCGTCACTCACTCTCTACTGTAATCGGAGCTTCCGTTGAGGCTCTATGGTCCGCAATAGAACAAATAAAAATAAAAAACAAATAAATAAAGCTAGGGCATTTAAGTTTTTTTCTCTTCTGTACAGCCCAAATTGCAAATTCACACTTCACTACATAATTCTTTTCATAGGTAACTCCGCTAAAGAGCATAGCATCCTGTAAAGGTATGTTGCCATGACCACAGCCACCGCATGAGCATTCTATATAAAGTTAAGCATGGCCGTAGCATAACCGCTTATAGCCTCGTATCGTGAATAAGAATCACATCGCTACTATTGCAAAGTCTTCATAAGTACCATTTGGCCTCCTTGCACTCAAAATTTTACATTTTTGTGGCGAATAGGATTCTGATCCCTCATTAGAGAAATTTTTTTGATTGATATTATCAACTGTTATTATAATGACGCATCATGACGATCATGACGACTGCAAGACTAACACTCACCGAGTGCCAAATGACGCGAGCAGGAGTACGACAAAATATTACTTTATTAATGGTACGAATATGGGCAATTAAAATCTAATACCCTTTTAGATACTTGTAGAGGGCAAAAACTTGGAAAAAGTCAGGCCGAAACGAAAGGCTGATTCATAATTTATTTTCTCAGTAATCGTTTGAGCGATGCTATTTGAAACAGAATTTAGTTTTCCGTCCAAAGCGAATGCAGTGCCTGTGTTCAATGTTCACTGTCTTTGATGCAGCATTAAGGACGCCAATGTGGCAACATTTCTGTGCATGCATCAGACCAATAGACCAAAGGTTGGTGGAGATTGCTTGCGTGCAACAGTATTGTGCCCTTTCACTGAAATCATATGAAGTTATAAAGGAAATATTGAGAGAGAAATGATGTTTTCGTTGTTAAATCATGTTTTGTCAAAAATTTTTGAATAATGTTGTTGCAGTAACTAATGCTTTTGCCGTTGGTCTTTCTTGTATTTCCTCTAAGTCTCTCGTTTTATCAAAAAACTGTGTTTTTCATTCATAATTATTTTTCGTCTGACATGAAAAATAAAATGATTTTTTCTGTGTTTTGTCATAAGAAAATGTCCTCGGCAGAATTAATTTGGAAATAAAGCAACTTGCTTTATTGTTCAAAAAATTTACCAAAAATCGAACAAAATTGACATTCACTCAATTTTCATAGAACTTCACCTTGCATTCGCCACCTAATAAAAGTTATGAACAATCTTCTGCATGCTTAAATTTAGACGTTTCCCCTACTCTAGATGCAAAAATTACACATGAACCACATTTATTTCTACTCACGGTAAAAAGTAATTTTCTGCTTGATAATCCGAGCAGTCGCACAGAACTGCCGGTCAAACTTCCTCGCCTCCCCAGATCGTCATTATTCACTGCTACAGAAACTAAAACATTTCGTGGAGTGTTTAGGATGTCTGCACCATGGTTGAATTAATATTAATATGTATTAATTCAACCATGGTCTGCACATTGTGCTGAAAGTTTAACGGGTTTCCCTACGACTGAGCATCGTTGTCAGCTTCACCGCAGCAATCAAAAGCGGTGGGCGTCACTCGATTAAAAGATCCATGCTGCATAGTTCGCTGACTGCATTCACGCGTCTGCCCTTGACGTACAAATACCAAACGTTATGCGACGTCGTATTTGCGCCGCATATATTGCACGTTATATAATTGAGAACATTACTTTTCCTTCTGGCTACCTGGTAGTGAGCATTTGGATTTGGGGCGTGGGGACACTGAAACAGACGTCCAGTTGTCAGGTTTTTAAATCGGCTCGCTGCTACGAGTCACACATTTATTACAAAGGATGGCTTCAACCTGTATAAGACGCAAGAGATGCCCAAGTGTGAATGAAAATTTGATGGCGTTAGGGGTTGTGACTTGATGTTTTGCAAGAGAGCAAATGCTAAAACTGTGAATGCACGGACGTACTGGTGGAATGAAAGAAGAGAAGATATCTGCTTCATACGTGATAAAGGCGAGAAGTAAACAGTGGAACACCTGATGATGCAGTGTGAAGCATATAAGAGAGAGCGACTGGAAACGATGATAGTTTTATTGGATGAGAGGGGTTAGGCTGATGGTGTGATGAATGAGAGAACGGGATACGAATCGGTTGTGATGATAGTGGGCCTGTCAGCAGGGTTCTTTCAATTCCTTGCTTCCATACTCATAAAACACTTAATTTCACTTTCTTCTCTATAGCTTTCTTCCATTCTTTGACATCCCATTCTATCCCAGTTATGCCCTGTACTGTCATTAACCAGTCATCGTTTCGTCTGTTATGCATTGGGCAAATCCAAGTCTCGTGTAACTCACATAAATTTCCTTACTATTGCATGACACGTACTTACGTTCCCATTTACTCACCTTCGTGTTTCACAGGAACATCTTTCGCTCCCAACGTTCATCATCCATTCTTTTCAGTCGTACTTTATATCTCAATGCTGCTTTCATTTTTCTCTCTCTCTAAACGTGCTCCATCCAATATGATGGCAATATCTCCTCTCAAAGCCTCCACTGCAGTCCATCAGGAGTCCCCAAGTACCAGTCTAGCTAACCTATTTTGTAGAACATCCCGTTTATCAACTAAACCAAAAAAAGCATAGAAATTAAAGCGTCATAGAAAAGGTTTGTTGCTGATTATATCGCACTTTAATAAAAATTGACGAGTTTTCTAATTGGAAACTCCGTGGGAGCAACATTTTATTTTGGCGGCACCTCGACGTAGTTTTGTAGAACAATATGCATATTTTTTCTCAAGCTAAATATTTATCAGGCATCATATAGTGACATATCACAGAATCGATTCTGTCATGGTCGCGGTTGAAGTCTATTTTGCAGGAGCGCTCTTTACAATGCGAAGCTACCCCTTTATGGTTAGATAAAGTACCGTGATTACGGTGGTCAACTTTAATTGTGGTCAATTTGACGTATATCTATCACAGAAACTTGGTTATAACACAGCACTCTTTGTGTATTAATTTCTGATAAAAGTTTTTTGTTAACATTCAAACAGATTATCAAACTCATAGTTTAAACATGATTTACCTGATTTTGCGATCCGTGAGACCAAGATAGTCAGTTGATTGACCATATTACTATTTGTAATTGATTACGACAGATTACCTTGGTTTAGTACATCAAAACAACTTTTGCGCTAATTACGCGATTGGTGGAAAGTTTACAACATTAAAATTTGCAAGCAAAGTTATGCATGCATGATAATTTTTGGAAGAGAAAGTAAACACAGTTTTTCAAGTTTTTACAGTAGCGTTGAGACACATGAGGTCATGGTATTCCATGCATGAGGTGTTCATTCAGAGTTCAGTCAGAATTGCAGTATCCGGATGATTGTCGAACGTATATGTATTCTGCAGGTACAATTTTTTTTTCCAATTTTTTGAAGGGGAGCGCAGCCGTGCACCACCAATATTGTGCACCAATAAGCCCTGAATCGAACGCATTGGATATCTCCGGAAATCCACCAATCAGCCGTGAACCACTCGGCTTTGTCTTCCTCCGGCCTCGCATAGAACCTGCCGTGCACCACCAGGCCGCGGATCGAATCTGACTTCCGGGCATCGTTAAATTACGTAATTTTACGTTCACCGCATCTGAGGTTAGGTTTCAGATTCCAAGGACGGACAAGGTCGGCTTGACAAAAGTTAACAAGTCAACAAGACAACAACCAACTACCAAGTACCAAGTACCAACAAATAAATTCAGAAAGAGAAAAAAAAACAAAGAAATAAGAGCAAAAAGAAAGGAAACAAAGATTAAGAGAAGAAAAAAAATAATAAATAAAATGAAAAAAAAAAAAAGGACTGACAAACCTCTGAGGGAGAAAGCCAGTTGAGTTTTTCCAGGAGCAGACTGAATTCACTGAAAATTATATTTATTAGGTGTGGATATGATAAGTATTAAGTTTGGCTCACAATGAATCACCGGTTACTTTAGAGAACGCAATTTAACACACGTGCTTTTGCCGTGAACGCAACTGACTTTCTCGTCATTTGCAATGTAATCAAAAAAATTATCTTCATTATAATATCAGTTTAGATGTTTCTCCAATCACATTGGCATGTTAGCATCTTAGATATGTTTGAGCATTATTAGGAAGAATCCCAATTTTAAAAGTTTGATAAGAAATCCGAGTCTTTTCTTATATTCTCAAGTTGAAAATAATGATAAAATTATGATGGAAGATAATTCACACTCAAAATTTTATTCCTCAAGTGAATAGTAGAAAAATTTATCACACCCAAGACTTATGAGTTGGCTTTTGATGCATATATATAGGAGTCAAAAAGAGATACTTATATAGTTACTTGCTTATTTTTCCTTGCAATATTTATTTAATTTTTTTTGTATTATTTTAATAAATGAGTAGGAAACCTACAAATACTTATCTTGTTAATTTCTTTTCAGGTATTGCCTAATAGATCCATCCCATTTAGTCTATGTCATGGATTTTTGAAAACTTGAATTGAATACAATATGGCTAGTAGCAGCACAACTGTAGAAATTGCTGCTTCCCCTAAAGACTCAACAACAGACCTGCACTCAAATGAAAGACTCTTCTTGGATTTTTGTGATAAAGAAGCTCACTCTGCAGCATCCAGCTTTTTGTCTGCTTGGTCACACTTCAAAGGATCAAGTTCTCAACTGTCTTTGGTAGACATTGAAGAAATCTGTGCTAAATTTTTGGAATTGCTTCCTAAACATATTGAGTCACTTATACATGAGCAAGGCTCATCACCATCAAAGCTCACCAATGGGGTAAATGAGCCTAGTGCTACAGAAGCTTCTGTAATACCATTGACTCCAGATGACTTACTTGAAGTTACAAGTGATGAAGGCCCTGAGTCCCCATCTGTGCGTGCTGCCCCAAGACCATTCTTCAGAAAGCTGTCTTTCAAAGGTCTACGCAAGCGAAAAGGACTATTCCTGAAGCAGCATTCTGATGAAGTAGAACTATCTCCTCATCGAGACAAAGTTCCAGGTACATTCAATGCTTTTATGACAAACATAAAAAACTATGTTAATTTTATTTTAAGTTATTCACTGCTCTACACTCAACTGTCCAATCATTTGAAACCATTGCTTTTAACCTGTAATAATATATTTCCAAGCAAATTAGAAAAAAATCAAATTTGTAAGGAAGTAATGAGGACAAAATTGTGAATGTCTGCTCTAATTTAAGTCAGCTTCATAACTCATCAGGAAGTCTGCTCTATCTACAATAGCTCTTGATAATTCATTATTTTTCCAGGTTTACTATCTGAACGAGGTGGGAGGTCTTTGCGCACCATCAAGGTTGTGATTGATTGTGTCCGAGAAGGTGTGGTGCATTTGCTAGCTGGTGACAATCAAGAGGGGCAATCTCACTGGATAAAGTCAAGACTAGCCCTCATTTCAATGCCTGCTGGTTTTGTTATTGAGTTTTACTCTCCTCCTAAGGTGTGCTAATTCTTAGATATTATTTCTATTCCCTTTATGGTGTTAATTGTATTTTTTCTATTCAGGGTACTAAAAAATAATGCATATTATAATATTTATGGCTTCATAAATGTAAATTTTTTAAATTTACAATTACACTTCATTTAAAAATAGGTATGGTTTGCTATATCTCAGCAGCTAGATGGTCTATTTTGCTGTTATAACTGTTTACTCATTTACCTTTCATAATATTGTATGCAAACAGCATGCAACTTTACAATACGTGATGATTTATGATAGCATTGTTTTATTTTATGGGCCATTAAAGTCTTGACATTTCAGCCTGCTGGATAATATCCTGGTATTTTCAGTTTCACTGCATTTCCAATACAACACTGGAATGCACTTAATACATTCCAATACCACTTAATGGTCTTGGTCAGGCTGTGTATTTGCTTGTTTATTTCAGAAGTTACAAATGTGTTTTTAATTAATTCTTGTATATTCACCATCAGAATATGAAAGCTCGTTGTGGTGTCTTCTGTCATTCTGTCTGTGAGGTTCGGGAGACCACAGATCTAGAGATGCCTGACCTCAGGAATACATTTGTTATTAAAGTAAGTTTTCAGTGTAACATGGTACAACATTTAGTCTCTTGCATCATGTTTTTCAAATTATTTTGTGGCTAAGTGTAATATTTTATTTTTATTATTCATCAATCATGTTTACTTTACAGATTATTTTATTATTGCACAAATATTTTCATTTAAAGGGCCTACATATACTTGTGAACTTGTGCACCAAAATTTGATTTTTTTCCTTTTTTTTTTTTTCTCCTTGTTGTTATTGATGAACATTCTTCTTCTTGATTGTTGAAAAAAATATATTATTGACCAGAAAGAAATATAATTTTCTTTTCTTGCATATATGAGAAAAATCCTGGTTGTTTGGTGGCTTCTTTGTTTGGATGACTGAAAGGCAGACTGAAAATCCAATTGGTATTGATTCCCCACACCCTTCTTGTGTTTTCATCTTGTGTGGTGTAACAAGGCAGCAGTGTAGAATGACGGTCGACGGTTCGGCAGGTATAGTACCAGCACAGGGAACAGAATAAAAACAAACTCAGGAGATCAAACAGAGGTAGAACTAGGCATAAATATATTAAATAGAATCAGTGGTACATTAAGGTGAAATATGAAGGTTAGTAGGTTAGTGAAGATGGGACAGCCCAGGGCTATGAGTGATAGGGTGAACCTAGCATGAGAACAAAATTACCAGCAGCCCAAACTGGATTGAACAGAACAGAGTAAGCAAGGATAACTAGCAAATGATCAAAACTGGGCCAGGATAATAATGAGAGAACTATCTAATCAAAAATACAAAGAGAATCTAATCAAAAATACATAAGAGAAAATTGCAGTCTTGAAAATTGGTCTTGAGTCCAAGCTTGACTTTATCAATCTTCAGGCCAGGGTCTGGGAATGTCAGTGAGCAGAGTCCATAGGAAAACAAGAAGACGGTGATCTTACCGGTGGTAAGTAGTGGAGGGAACAGAATGGGCTTGCTGCAGTGGTTACAGCAGGAGTAAGCAGACTGAACGTGGCTGGGCATAAACGAGGCCCCAACACTAACTCCAAACTTGGTTTGTATATGGCCCAAGAGTGGCTCAAGACTATACTGACATGTGGTTCTGAAGCTCGTCCGGGACCAGCAAAACGCGCTCCAGACTAGCTGCTCTGCAAAAGTGCAGGAACAAGAACACATAAAACCTATCCAACAATAATACTTGAAAAACATAAGTACACTTGGAACACATAAGAACACATTGATCTATCTAATACAAAACTCTAAAACAATTTTAAGGGATGATTTATGATATATACAAACGTTTCCTGATAACATTTAAACATTCAATAATTAAAATTTAGGACTGCGGTGCATGGCTTGAGTGTTCCCTTAACTCACCTATTGAAGAGCCAAGAAAAGCATTAATAGCAGTTCAGCAATAGGTCAGTCTTTATAGCAGCATAACCAGAAAGCAGGTTATTTAATGCAGCAGGTTAGTCAGCAAAAGGCACTAGGTCAGAATAGCAAATCTGTTTTAGTCAATAACAACCCATGAAGAAGGTGACTTTGCACAAAAATGACTTTAACTGGCTTTATTGTTCCACTGATCTGGATCATTCTAACATTCAAACACTGGGGACAAAAAGAGAGAATTAATTGAAAGCACTTAATAAATCATTCATTTGCCTAAATGCAGCCCCTAACAATGTCATAATTTGAAAGACCTTTGCATGTGTTGTGTACACAAACTGTTGTACAATATGATGTCTGTCATTCACTCACTCTTTACTTGCTTTGTGTTAGCAGAAAGTTGTACAATATGATGCCAGTCATGCACTCGCTCTTTACTTGCTTTGTGTTAGCAGAAAGTTGTACAATATGATGCCAGTCATGCACTGGCTCCTCACTTGTATTGTACAGGCTGACAGCGGTGCAGAATGGGTTGTACAAGCTGTTGACCATGACGACAAGAAAGAGTGGCTGGCGTGCATAATTCGCTACTGCACACCCAGCACTCGACCCACCACTCCTGCCAAGATGGACCGCTCCCTTCTGTCAGTTGCTACAGTCTTACCACTCCTTTGCATTCAACTTCATGTAGATCTGTTTATGCAGGTTATTCCCCCACTTATTAATCATGGAATTTGCGGTTTGGCCTCCCCTGTTTGAGGCCAAGGTGCATGCCTTTTGAAGTTGCTGTGTGCGCTTAGGAGTTTGTTTATGAGTTTCATTCAATAGATCACAGCTAACTGGTTTTCATCTGAACTAAAATTTTTCTTGAGTTTCACAACATTGATGAAAATATCTGTTCTCTGTCAATTCAAGTTAATGTTGTTATTAGCGCCATTATATGACATTCATGAAAGTATCCCATAACAGAAATAGGGCAACAACGAATTATCATATTGTGAAATTATAAAGCATTATAGCCTATGTTATAAAGCATTATAGCCTATGATGCTCCTGCAGGGACCTAACAGGCGTTCTGCGTGTTGCGCGCACCAAAGACCAGAACGGCCAGCAGCTGTTGGCTGAGCAGGAGTCCACGCTCAGCCTGGGGCCTTTGGCCGGCTCCAGTAAGCCTTTCCTTTCACCAGCTAAACACTGTGTTTTTTAGATGTGTTACATTATTACCCTATTATTATTATTATTTAGATGTGTTACATATTACCCTATTATTATACTCATGCTCATATTGAAAGACAGACGATAGCTGCGTGAATATCTCGGTTTTATCTAGCTTTTTTCTTGTAGGGTATTACTTTCTGACCAGGTATCTCAAAATCCTAACTGGAGTTCCTGTAGGGAAGCAAAATATCCCTAACATTAGGTCAACAACAGTAGATGTTTGTTAGTCAGTTGAAAATTGTTACCCTATCATCGGCAGGTTTACTGCACCGCCCCGACGTGACCCCCGTGAGCACGAGCACCCTGAGCGTCCACCCCAGCAACAGCTCTCGCTACCTCAGCTCTGCGGCTCAGCTCGAGACGGCAGGCGGCATACCAGAGGGAGATGTCGTGGTCGCCATGCCTTCCTTGTCATTAGGTATTGCATTCTTTTTACATTTGCTCGGGTTACACTCGGGGTCTTGCAAGCTCTTTGTGCTTGCCATGCCTCAGTCACATCTATTGTGTTTCAGCCTACAATTTCATAGTTTTAAATATTAGGCATAAAATAATAATTTTTACGGAAATTATTCTTCATATAAATATTGTTGAAATATATTTGTAATTACTTAATTTTCAAATTTTACATGATATTAAAAGTCAGTCTGTATTAAGGCATCTTAATTATTTATTTGTGATGAGGTCTAGGTGACTCCTCCGGTGACGAGATCGACGATGTGGCGCTGGCGAGCGTGACGGCAGCCAGTCTGGGGCTGACCGCCGGCCTGGGCGGTGGTGCGCGGCTCCTGCCACACGTCGCCCTCAACGCCGGCATCGTGCACAGACTGCCGGGTAGGCAGACTGCAATAATCGTTCATGTATTTAAATTAGATCCTGTCTGTAACACTTAGTCTGTCCAGTTTAGTTATTGATGAAAGATCTTATTTCAAGTCTTCATATGCGCCTAAGGCCGTCCTATATGCCAAGTCTTCCTATATGCCTATAATTCCAAGCTGCAGGCAAGTAGGAGCTTCTCATTATACATGTCCATTCCACCGTATTCAACAAGTTTTTTTAAAGGTGGTAATTGTGGTGTCTAGTCTAGTTGAATTTATTTCCCAAAGGAGATCTTTGAAAGATAATTGTAAACAGTATGACGACTGTCAAGAACTGACATCTTGCCTGCATCTCACAGTGGTATGCTTCAAATATTATGATTTTCTGGTAGCTGAGTCTGGGAAGTCACAAAATACTCCAAAAGTAGGATATATTCTCTCAATTCAAAATATCTTGCGACATAATCTCATACCAAATGTCGGTATAAAATAGGAAACGTTTTGAAGCTTGAATGACTTTGTATAAAGCATTTGTTTGTTCACGAGCGTGGTTCAAATTTTACTCAATTTTTCCCAACAGCAAAAAATGTTTCAAAGTTAATAAACACTCAATTTAATATTTCTTTTGAATATAAGGGAGAAATACTAGCTGTTCCAGTATCATCTAGCTCGATGTTTGTTCTAGGATGGATTTTGCATGATAAACTTGGCAAAATATCGCAATGACTGCAGTCCAGTAGACGCGTGTGGATTATTGTACACAACTGACTATGTTCCTGCAGAGCTGCCAGGGCTGCACGAGTACCCTTGGTTCCACGGGCTCATGGCGCGTGGTGACGCCGCTGCCGCCGTGCTGCACGAGGGCTCCGACGGTCACGGCGTCTTCCTTGTGAGACAGAGCGAGACGCGCCGCGGCGAGTATGTGCTCACCTTCAACTGCCAGTCTCGCGCTAAGGTGAGACGCTCTTCCGTTCTGAATCAAAAATTATTTCCTAGCATGAAACCTGTCATCTTAAATAATCGATTCTGCTGGAAAGATGGATTTTTTTTATCTCCGGACTTTGGCCGCAACCCTACAGGATTGTCAGAAGGGCTCAACAATTTTCCTATAAAAGTTCAATTGCTGAGATTTTATTGCACTTCGATGCTGTTCATTAAAACCTCAATGTGAAATTAAAACGTTTTTATTTAAGAAAATGACTGTTTTAAAAGAATCTCGCTCAAAATACTAAAACCAGCGTAACTAATAAATGATAACTAAAACCATAACACCATAAGCAAGTTTCAATTGTTAATTCCCACTTCCGAATGAATTTCATGGAAAAAGCTTTAAATTTCTTGCTTGTTGTTGTCATATCTTACACTTGAATGTTGCTATTCCAGCACCTACGACTGACCATCAACCCAGATGGTACCTGCCGAGTACAGCACCTTCCCTTCAGCACCATCTTCGACTTACTCGAGTACTTCAGAGTGAACCACATCCCGCTGGAGTCAGGCGGCAGCTCGGACGTCACCCTCACTGACTTCGTTGTTTGCACCGGTACGGTCTCCTTTCTTGCGCGGTGTCGACGTCACCTCAAAAGCTTCATAGATAATTACTAAAAAAGTTAATTCGCACGGCATGGAAACAAAATCTGTTATTCCAGTAAGCATGGGCCTGAACTCCTCTTGAATGTTCGCCCTCTTTTATTTGAGGATATAGGCGCAATTTTCGTGTGGTACGCGCCTAGTTGATCCCTGACTGTCGCAATAACAGGAGCTCGTCTCCTTGCCTCCATATATTTAACTTTTCAGTATAAAGTAGAGCAATTATTACCTATTAAGTGGAGCAATTATTATCAGTATTTAGTGAAGCAAATGCCGCTCATATTAAATGTAGCAATTACCGATCAGACGGCAGTGACGAGGACGGCAGCATGTCCGGCCACCAGCACGGCGGCGCGAGTAACGGAGGCTCTGAGAGACGTCGCCTCAACCCCCCCAATCAGCCACAGGTCCTGCTCGTCTATAGATCTTGTTCATAATTTAGCTTGAACAGTGCGAGACGTGGCACTACTGAAAACTTGCTATTTCTTAAATGAAAGGAAACAATTGATTTATTTATGCTAGGAAGTTAAATAAACGAGCTTTCTAAATTGAAATTTTGGCATTTTCACTTTACACCTCATGCTCTCAGCTCAACCTCCGCGTGTAAAATTTCAATTATTGTATTACTGCACGGCTCGTTATACCTCTACCATTCAGTGCACATTCATAATTTTGTATCAATGACGTGATAATTTCTGACAGTTCATCACTCACGGAGGGTCGGTACGGTTGACGCTCGCGGAGTTGGAGCGCATGCAGTACGAAGCAAGCAACTCTGGCGGGTCATCAGGCCGTGCAGTAGACAACATCTACACCTACAACTGAGGGGCGCAGCTGCGTGAGCCAAACTTCTTATGAAAGTTGTACTTCTTCAATCGCATAGCAAAGGCAATTTATGCTTAACAAGCCCGGTGGAGAGGAGTCAGATGAAATGCGCAACTGACTGCGTATAACCTGCTGGAAATATAGAATTAGGCGATTATTTTTGCTTAAATTACTCGGATTCAAGTCTTGATTATTGTATATTCTGAAAGTGTGGCAGTTATAAAATCGAGCGTATCGTTTACAGTTCTGTGAAGAGTAGAACTATTCAATGGCCCTGCTTGAATAATTTGCCCAAATTTTTTATTATTTATGGGTCAATAACTGATAAAAGTTTTGATTTATTCAGAAGTGCGACGTTTAGTATCAGACATCAGGAACTTCATTTCAAGGCAGCTATGTCTTAAAGTTGCCTCGTTTTCCTTTATTTGTGCGACTCATTGTAACCCTGCAGTATAATGGCCCATATCTGCGTCGGATGCATGACAGCTGCCGGTTGTCGCTCGAGTTGCAGTGACGGCAATCTTGGCTTGACCTCCGTATTTTTCGCGTTGTTGTTATTGTATTAATGCTGCCTTTCATGTTGCATTACCGCTGCAGCTTCATCACACATAATTGCTGCAATACTGATGATGGATGGCACCAGAGTCTGTAAAAACTCATCAGTGCAATAATACTAGTCTTATCTCATACCTACTAGTCTCTTCTAGTCATGATGTGCGACTCTGTTCACTAAGTTTTAATTCTCTTACTCTGTGATATTTTGTTTGCGTTGTTTTTCCTTCTTAATCTTTTTTTCCTCTGAGTAGTCTATGAGATTTCGTCTCGTTTTAATTCCGCGCTGAATTGTGGAAATCCTTGATTTGTTTCTATAAGGAAAGTGCTCCTAGTCTGCTGTTCGACAGAGTGGATCCTTCCAAAATCATAACGCAAAATCGAAGTGTTTATGAGTTTTGGTTAATAACAAAGAAAAGTTATTGTAGGGGTAAATATAGGTCCAAATGTAGAGTACTGGAGTATTTTTTTTTAATAAAATCGACTTTTTGGTCAAACAATATCATGCTCTAACCGTGATGTCATTTTCTGCTCTCCTTGACGTCTTTGATGTAACGTTTGTTATTGCCTGATGTTGATTTATTTTGATGGTCTAGACATTAAGCATTTTCGTGTCCACAATTTTTTTTGGACTAACTGCAGAGAAAGGAATAACGAAGTCTTCAATTTGTAGATTGAGGAAACTTCAGCACTCTATACGCGATAAATTGTTCTGTGCTGTTGGAATGTCACTACGCGGTTTCCGTTAGTGCTCTGGTTCTTTGACTGTAACTCTATCTTGCGAGAGATAAACTTTATCTGTTACGTTCTCCTGTATTTCAGGAAGCAACAATTACTGCTACATCAGTGAATACCAGTTAACGTTTTCAGTTGCAGCATTTCTCTTGACATAGTTTATTTTATTTTTAATTTAGTATGTTTGTTCATCGTTCGTAGTTTCGTTAGTCAGTTTAATGATATCTTACAAACTACGCCTGACGTGTAGATGCTCTATGATAGAAACAATGTTTGCTTGTGAAATCGTCCTATGTGCTTAAAAAATTTACTTCATTATTTTCTCTTGTGTTCAGATGAATTGTCAGGAGAAAGTTTCATTTATAAAAATATGCGCCATGAGACAATGATTAATTCCAATTGTTGTACTACTGTTTTCTTTATTTATTTGCCAAACGAATGATGAACGATCATACTTACCTTCAAGTATTATCCTATGAGGATGTCATAATTATCTTAAAATTGCACAAGTGAGTTCAACATGCTAAGTTGTGTTGTGTACATATGTTCTCTGGTAACGCTGGAGTTAGATTCTTAGTGTGTATTGTTGACGATATGTAATAACATGAGGCCAGACTTGCATGATGCCTAACATGTCGACGTTAGTCGGATCGTGCCAAAGTATATCAATTTTTGTAGTGTAATTTTCTTTCTAATGGGCAATTGTTGTAAGAAACTCAATTGAAGATCTCGCTTCTCTTTCTTTGAACTCCTTATTTGTGTTTAGCCGATGAAACTCGTTTGCCTGCGTTCTTTGTTTATTTCAGTCTGCCGTTGCGCGTCTTGCTTTCGTGGTTGCCAGCAAATTTGTCCACTATTGAGTCGACGTCAATCCTCGCAGAGATCAACTCAATTGCCAGTCAATTTGATTAAGTTTATAAAAGTACAATTTATGGTGCTCAATTTTTAGTTATATATTCACCTCTATTGATCAGTTGTTAAACCTCATACGTTAATAACGTTATTTTATTTTTAGTGGAGTTTAACAAGAAAGTCATGTAGACATTGGTGAACTTAAGCCCTATGCTAAGTAATGGTACTAATTAGTTGGATTTTCCTACATGTATGTACCCCAGATTTGCGTCCGTATCATTATTAATCAATGGTTCTAATTATTGTTTTTTATTAAACGTGTGGCCGTATCTCTTTAGACTCGTTTATGGTTCTCGGCACGCATATTGGTCTCATAGAGCGAGATTGTTTCAGTTACAAATGTCTTCTAGTCGGTAAACTTGAGTATTAGTACTAATTTAAATTTTTTGTTTTAGTTAAACAGCTGCTCTATTCTAAGAATGGTTACCGCGTGAATGGACTCGTAATTTTGAAGCTCTTATTGTGTGTGCTCTCTAAGGTCTCCTCTTCGCCCTGCTCATGTCCATGTTGTCACTGATGCGAGGTGTGCGCAATACTTCATCTTCTTTTAATCAAATCAACTCTCACAACAAACTAGTTAATTTAACTTCACGAAATGTTTTAATAAAATTCCTTATTGAAACCTTAATTGTTCAAACCTGTCGGTGAAGTTGACGTAAATGGCAGTAAGTAGAAAATGTTTACGATAGTTAATCGATAGTGCATTTTGTTTTAACCAAGTGATTTCCGCGTTGTACAGTGTGTATAAAAAATCTCCGATTTCCCAAAAGCAGTAAACTATTTGGGTACTGAAGCAAAATTCACCATCAACGTAGTGTGAAAAATAGGAAACATTAGTTTTACTTGGCTTTGGTGGACGGATTGAAGGATACGAAAAACACTTGTCATGATGAGAAAGACCGTGAGTTTCCTTAAAAGCTTATGGTGCTGACATTATCACTAAGCCAGATTCCCAAAGTATACCCGAAAGTACTCTTTTATAACTGAAATGATGAAGGAAATAACGTATCGGTCATTATAGGTGCTCTCGTTATTCACAAGTTTATCCAAACTCTAAAGCGACCTCTCCCTCTGATGTCCGTCCAAGTCTGAACTATAGCACCTTGAATCCGGCCCTTTTTCTGATATACGAGTGTCATTTGAATACTCGCGGATCAAATGGAACATGTCATGTTCCATTTCCTGGCGCTGCTCATGAGAAGAGCAGCGCCAGGCTTTTATTTTACGTTTTATAAACAATTTGTCGTGAGAGCAATCAAATGAGGTGCGAAAGTTGAAATTTAATCATTTCATTACATCACTATCCCCATATGAATAAAGTATTTGATATGCTGCCAAATTGGGCCTGCTAAAGAAGCATCCTTTAAAAGGCAAAATTTACGAATCTCGTACCGAATTCGATTGCATATCCTTTTTCGATTAAACGTAAAATTTAACCCTGCGGTAAAAGTTGAAGACAAATACTCTGGAACTACTATTAGAAGTGCATGAAAACTCGGAGGCGAACAGCATTTCATATACCATTTAGCTGACATTACCAAGCAGTCAACTCGCTGAGACGTCAAGGTACGGCTGATAAACATAGCTCTCCGCACTCACCACTGTGTCACCTTCAGGAAAACAGAAACGGTAAGTCTGTACGCAACGGAATTAATTAATGGTTGAAAACGTAGCATAATTGTGTCGGCGCTTAAGAATTGCTCTTGTGCGGCCTACTGCCATCCTTGTACGTATCTTTCGTGACCCGCTGTTCACAGGAGATCTGAAAACTGCCCCTCAGGAGAGATCGATCGTTTTAAAATGACGTTAGTTTTTCTTCTCTACTTTAACAGATCTGTAAGGTGCTGGGCTAGTCCGAACATAAGGTGCTCGGCATAACTTTGTCTAGTCTGTTCCTGAACGCGTTCATATAGGCAGGATAAAGAGTTTCTTATACCGAGCAGGTACAAAATTTATTTTTTTTTTTAAAAATAGTATTACGTCGGTGTGCGAACAGTAATATTGCTGTTGTTGTCACTAATGACACCATGCAATGGCGTTAACAACATTAAAATTTGCTATTAGTAAAAAATTAAAATCTATTTTCGTCTTGCCGGCCGCTTGTAATTCTAACTTTGTATTCCATAGATAAGTTCAAAACTGTGGCCCTCACAGGTTTCCCCATTCTGCCTATCCTCATCGCTCTCGTTCCCCTCTGGGCGACACGCGTGCAAGTTCATAAATTAAGTTTACTTGTACAATTTTGATGACTTTACAGTCGCGCAGCTCCTTCTTTTCTCCGTACTTCTTTTCTATGACTCGTGTCTCTCATCTTTCATAATTATCTCTATTTTTCTTAACTCTGCGGGCTCGACAATATGTCAATGGATATATTGATATTCATTTTAACGCTAGATAACAATTATCAAGAATAAATAAGAACTTTAAACAAGAAATAGCTAAAACCATATTTAAAACCATTTGTCAGCTTTAAAACGCAGCTGCCACTTATCAGCCCAGTCATCCAAACTGTCAAGATAACCTTGCAACTGGACTTTTGCGACGTATTCCTCACTGCATTAGAAACTTTTGTGTCGTCAGCATACATCGAGCACACGCTAGACACAACTTCTGACAGATCGTTTATAAACGCAACAAATAAAACAGATCCCAGAACGCCTCCTTGTGACACGCCGCTGCGCACTGAAGCCCAGTCTGATACGGTCCCATTAATACTGACACGTCGTCTCCCTACTAGAAAATCTCTTATCCATTTGATTACATTATTCTCAATTCCATAAGACTTAAATTTACGCAACAGCCGCTCATGTGGAAGACTGTCAAATGCCTTGGCAAAATCGAGGTACACTGCATCTACTGGCTCCCTTTCGTCTAGCAGGCGGGTCCATTCATTCAGAGTAGACAAGAGGTTAGTTGTGCAGGATGTCCCGGCAATAAAGCCATGTTGACAGTCTGATAGAAGATTATAAATATTCAAATGATCGATCAATCGATCCCTCACCACAGATTTCATTACCTTGCAAACGACACTTGTCAAACTGACAGGGCGATAGTTGCCCGGGCAGCTTTTGTCAACTTTTTTGAACAATGGTGTCATTTGAGCTTCTTTCCGTTCGGCGGGCAGGTTCCTTCCTTCAAAGTTTCCTTCGAAAAAAAAAAAATTACGTCTAAGGTCCGGCTAGGACGGTTGCTAACTCTTTGAGTAATCTGGGGTGGAAGCCGTCCGGTCCATATAACTTGGGATTTAGACGATCAGGCGCTTGAGAACCTCTTCTTCTTGTATTTCAAAACTTGTTAATTTAGAGCCGACTGGGCGCTCCTCTATAGTTGGAATATTGTTCGAGTGCTCTTCAGTGAATACGCTACTAAAAAACTGATTAAGAATGTTATAGCCTCGTCCTCATCAGAGGATATCTTTCATTTATCTATTTTCAAATCAGAAATACCTCCATTAATTGTCTTGCACTTCAAGCTAGCGTACAAAAGAAGGCTTTCGGGTTCCTTTTTGCATTTTTGGCAATATTTTTTTCGAAGATTTTTATTGCGGTGCGACAGCTTACATTAGCTTGATTTCGAGCTCTGGCGTATAGATTGTAATCGGCATCGCTACGAGTCTGTAATTAAAAAGCAACATTTTTTAAAAGAGACCTTGTCTCCATAACGGGTACAGTTCTTACTCTTTTGATATTATAAATCGCTCGTTTTTCATGCCTGATGTCGCCTTATCGTCACTCAGGTTTTAATCTATGTAGTGTATATTTGAATTTTCCTTGCCAATTTTAGTTGTATTTCCTAGAATTGTTTGAACTAATGATGGTGTAGGTCTCCAAAAAGTTTTCAGTGAAGATATGGTAAATTTTCTTGGCTTTTTTTGCATTTAAATTGTTGGCTCATTGAAAACATTTGGAATCCACTTACACGGCCAGTTCTAGATCCCGAAAAACTAATACAATCAATTAGCTCAACTGAAATTGGTAGAGTACATATTAAAGGTTGAATTTCAGCAGACAAAACTATCCGAAATACTCAGGTAATTGGTATCCGAAGTACCGCGGTAATTGGGAGTTAGGGTACCGCGGTAGTTGGTATCCGAGGTACCGAGGTAATTGGGATCCGATCGAGGTAGCAACTAGCAAGGTAGTTGGTATCCGTGGTACCTCTGTAATTGTGTAATTGGTATCCGTGGTACCGAGGTAATTTGTATCCGAGGTAAAGGGGATCTGAGGGACCAATTACCTCGGAAAATAACATAATGCTTCATCAAACTAGGCTCCTGAACTCAAAAATATTCTAAAATTAGTAAAGTGGAAACACTAAAAATGGAAGCTAAAATATTTAAGCATCGATCGGACACTCGGACGTTGCGCTTTTCAGCATGAACGCGCACTCTGAACGGAGTGGACACGCAAATTGGTTTCCGGGATGAAAATGTTGTGATCCGAATCCCAAATGTCTTACACGATTGATTTACCGCCAATGGTTTGACGCCATCTCAGTTTAGAAGAATGGCTAACTCCCTGCCTAGAATAATCATCGGGATTCAATGACTATATTGTCATCAGAGTAGATTCTACGTTTAGTTGTAATTAAGAGCTAACGGCGAAGCTTTGCAAGTTTCAGGTTAAGCTGAGACTACGTGAAGGTCTAGCTCGGTACTGTAAGTTTTTAAAGCTCTCTCTATACTGCATGTATATAAGTACCCTATAATATAAATTTTAAAGGTACGATGGTGAATTGTTCTATTTTCATTCATAAGTCTAGTCTCGTACTGCACATTTTAATGGTTCGTGACGGCAAGTTCCTAAAGTTCCCCAAATGCAAGGTTTTAGAGGTCACAGTATTTAGAGTTTTTATGTGTGAGTTTCTAAAGGTCCCATCATTGAAATTTTCTAACATCTCGGTACATTAAATTTTTTGGCACACAAATTTTTAATGATATGTTAATTGAACTTATCAATTTATGTTTAAGATTATACAATGTCGTTATATCGAGTTTTAGGCGTGCGCGTGGTTCTCCTACATGCTTCATTTATTTGTGAGCAGAAACTCGTCAATCGTCCAAATCCATTCAAAATTTGTCGACTATTTTGACACGAACACGAAATATTGCATTTTGTATACGAATTCAGTTTTTCAGCTCGGTCTGCAGTAATTGCATAGATGAAATTGCGTTCCCATCTACAAAAATAACCAAATCCAATATCCAAAACAGTTCCCTCTTTTCAGCGTAATTTCTCATTTATGAAAAAATGCACTATTGTGCTCGCCATGTCCGTCTGTCCGTCCGTCTGTCCGTCCGTCTATCCGTCTGTCTGTCCGTCCGTGACTTCACGTTTTCGTCGACGAGAAAATGCGCTCTCTGTCACTCACTGCAGTGAGTACTGACTATTGAGTTATATTTTTGATAAATTATCCTGCTACTCGCAAGGGTGCACCCTCGAATTTTCGATAGAATCAAAGGACATACTGTACTCTCAAAAATTTATACGTACGTAGCTATACTCTCGTAGCAATTTATGCATACGTAGCTTTCATATAATAAATCAAACGTACGTATCTAAGTTATACTATCGTAGCTATATATACGAACGTAGCTATCTTATAACAAATCAAACGTACGAATAGCAATACTCTCACAAATTTACAGTCGATCACAATGCGTTTTATTAGCAAGTTTTGCAAATTACTGGCGTGAAGCGTTGAATTCAGCTTGACATAAAACTTGAAGTTTTTGCAATGATTTGGTGAATCCGGTCATCCAAATAAAGATCTTAACCATTGCTATAATTTTTTTAGAATCCGGCTGAGGCGGACTTGTAAAGTAAATTGCAATGCCGGACTCTTCCCTACACCGCCTTACACCGCCGAAGGTCACCTTGACCGTCAAATCAAGGCTGAAAAATGCGCTTCGTGAACACCGATCGCCACTGGTGCTTCGCGCTCAGAAGCAGGACTACTTGGACTTGGCAATAATTACGGCATCACAAATCCGAAGGCAAAACTTTGCCCTAGTATAAGAGCATCAATATATTCCTGACTCGTTTTGTCTATTCAATGTTTTAACCTGAATTGAAGACCAGCCCAAAGCTCAAATGTTCCCAATAACCGCGAGCCTAACCATCGAAGCCCACCAACATAGCGATAATTTAATCAATTTGGGTGCTGTTTTACAGTAGTTTAGCTTACAGTGAAATGAGAATAGCATGTGTTAAAAGAATAACATTCCGAACATGCATTGTTTAATATGTAAGTAGAAATTTTTTGTTGAGTGAACTTCGCTCCCGAGATGACTCTAGCAATCGATAGATTGCTAGAGTCGTAGAGTCTAGGTAGAGATTGCAGGGTCGTATTTTCGGACAAATTCAGCGATTTAGTTTTCTTCAATTGCGTCTGATGACATAAATTTCTGATGGCAGGACCACCTCATTTAACTTAAAAAAATACGGAAAAAATGAAAATATAATTTTTGCACCGAAACCTACAATTCAACTATTATATTTGAATTATGGGTATTTTTATCCGCAGACTTGGCCGATTTTTAGTTGCGTGCAGTAGTAGCGGCGCTTGTGGATCGTGCTGCACTCAACGTGTTAATGAATGATGATTTTTTTAAAAAAGTTTAATTCAACATCTGTTCAACGTTATATACGTGGCTGGTGGGGTACAGCGGTCTTAGGTTCAGAGCTGATGACAAATGCCGGTGAGACGACTGTAGAGTTTGGCAGGGACAGACCAAAGTGCTCGTTTGTTATCGAATTTATGATGCCTTTATTATTTATTTTCAGGCCAGTGGACTCCAACCTTGCGTTTTTCAAGCATTTTCATGAAATATAGGAAAACTAAATGGTCGAATTATTTGAAACATTTTTACAAAATTCAAACAGACATTAATAACATTTTCCCTTTAGTGGAGAAAAAAAAATCATTAATTTAGTTTTTATGATTATTTGGATTTAACCTCATGTCATGTAATATACCACTGTTACGGGAAGGGCAAAAAGTCAGCAATCCTTCAATCCCTAATTTACTAATTTTTAGATACGTTGGACCTTGATTGACTGATACTGCATTATTCTTTTTGTCTGAAGAACCGCGCCCTGTCATCGGTTTAGTTCAAATTTAGTTCCTTATTATTTAAACATGCCAGAAAATTACTTCAGAAGTGTTGCAAAAAAAATGTTTTTATATGACGTTGACTGGGGTTGGGAAATATCGTTAAATATATTCTCTAACAAACAGGACTAAAAATTTATTTGTACAGATCCCGAGCCTTCCAGCACTCGGGACTAACCAGGAAATTCTGTAGTAATTTTATTGTTTAGGACACTAACTTTAAAAAGTTGATAAATCACATGACCTTGATGGTCCAACACCGCCACAACACACGGCCACTCATTTAGCAGCTCGCGTCCTGGGAGTGGCAGCCGTCGTGGGAGTGGCAGCCGTCGTGGGAGTGGCAGCCGTCGTGGGAGTGGCAGCCGTCGTGGGAGTGGCAGCCGTCGTAAGGCAAGTGGGGCGGTGTCACGGTAACGACGGTAGCACCCTCGACGCACGGTATGTACTCATAACTATTGTCTAAAGGACAATAGTTTGTCCGTGACAATAATCGTGTATCTGAAGAAGAAAGTCAGAAAAATGTCAGCGATACTTCAATATGAAATGTTTACATTTTTTTTATTTTCCTAAGATCAATAATTTCCGTAAGATCAACATTAACAAAATTTTAGAATATTCAATTATATTCGATTCGTGTCAACTGATGTTCAATCGAACATACCTTCCATAATAACATTAGTAGTGTTCTCAAAAGAGTTTCCAGCTCTTTTGAGAGCTGGAAACTCTAAGGGCTGTTGGAAAACCAACAGCCCTTACTGCTCTGCCTAAATCATTTACACTTCAGCGTTTAAAATGCGGGTACTTTTAATCAATAAATGTGCAATAAGAAATTAATTATCCGCCGCTAGTTGGAGATCTGAACAAATTTCTTTGAAAAGCGGCGAGTTACCATCTGAACTCAGCCACATTTTAAAATGCGTTAAACTCGTGTAACAATCGACGGGAAGAGCGGCTTGCAGTCGAATTTCTCAAGGTCCAGGATGCATCTTCGATGGTCCGCATTCAATTCCTACTCAATTTAACCGTGACTTGCAAAATAAGATGCATATGCGGGATCCCCGATGTCTTGGCTCGGTGAACACGGATCATTCGTCGCTGGTCTCGCGTGCCGTCGTTCCCCGCAAAGTTCCGGCGGTTGTCGCGGACAGCGGCCTATATAAGGCCAGGCTTTGAGAGGCAGCTTCACTCGCTCACCTGGTCTCGTCTCAGCAGAACATCACAACAAACGTCTCGATAACATGCAGTTCCTCGTGAGTTATTATTTGAAGCCAAGCTTCATGGTTATTTAGATCATGGTTCACTTGGAAACCGAAAAACAAATATTAATTTTTCGCTCCTTTAAGAAAACTAGTGGCAATATCCGTTTCTTGATTTACATAGATATTCTTTTATTGGAAAGTGTTCACTAGTTTTCATGCGACCCGTTTGAGTTATACTACAGTTATTTCTTGAGTTTCTCATGAGGGCCAAAATTAATCATATTAAAAAGAAAAATTATGTTAACTTGAAGAGTTAGTAATTTCTTGCCTTAGCAAAACAATTGACAGGAAGACTTTAGTGTACATTCTAGTTGGAAGAATATTATCTACGCAGTCTATGGGTAAGGAAGACAAAAATTTGGAAATTGGTTTAAAAATGAGAACATGAATTTTTCCGCATTATCAATAAGAATACTGTATACGATCACATGACATGAATACATTTAACCTGTGAATACAACAATGGAATAGGTTTCATAATACTAGCTAACATTGCACTGCAGTAGATAACAATTATATATGTTGTAATAGGATACTATCGTTTAAATAGTCTACTGTCGTGGGAATAGGATACTAAAATGAACTAAACCAAGCTCTGGTTTTGACATCTACCATCAAATAGCCACCGCGTTTCGAAAACGTTCATGGATTCAACATAGAGTTAATAATTCTGACTCAACATCCCGACAGTCGTTGGTCGTGCTGGCTGTACTTGCCGCGATCGCGGTGATGGCGGGAGGCGCCGCGGCGCTGCCTTGGGGCGGTGGAGGCTACGGCGTGTCGTCCGGTGGTGGTTATGGTCAACGCCGCGTCCGTGAGTTGTCATCCGTAATTGATTACAAGCAAAAAATATTCACGATGATTAGGGATTTGGTTACTTGAATTTCATGCTCATCCGGGCTGTTAAACCTTCACCAAATAAGCTTAAGAATAAAAAAAAATTTGTTCGTTTAGTATTCGTTGTGTGCAAGACGTTCAACAAAGCGCAATGAAAATGATACCAACATGGATGCCGTTCCTTTCTCATCGTCGAGCTTCCTAGTGCGTATTTATTTTCCCGGGTTGCACTCCAATCCAGCTGTTTCTTGTACTGGTGCTTCGCATGAAAGAGTTGAACAAATTCATAAAATGTAGGTTAGCTTCTAAACGCTAGAACAAGTTTTACTGTTTCCAAAATGGCTGGGCTCGCAGTGAAATGACCTGGAATCTGTGAACTGACTTCGACTTTACGACAAATCAACAAATTCATAAATTTTGTCAGAAGAATTGCAAAAATAGCCAAAGCCATAGTTGTAGTTTTGTCGTTTTACGGGTCACAGATTAATTGAAAATTCGTTTTTTTTTTTGCATAACAGGATTACTTCTCTCACCTCTCAGTAAATAACTAGATCAGTCTATGAATTCACTCTTAATAGGCCTTAAAATGAAAAAAACGCACAATTCCTAGAATAATACTTTCAATATTAATTGAGAGTAATTTAGGTGGAACATGCATAACATTTTTATTGATTCCATGACTAATTTTGTGCAAAACTGGAATATTCTCAAAAATTTTAAATGGAAATTAATATCAATCATAATTTTTCCCGCTAGATTTGTGCGATAATTCGTCGGGCATGCATCTGTACATCGATGCGTAACTTCTTTTAACACTATTATTTAATCCTTAGCTCGATTTCGAATTACGACTGACCCTGACGTCAGTCTTGTTAAGTTTTAATTGGTGTGTCATAAAAAATGACTTTTTCTTTCACAATAAACTATGAACGTAAAAATTCTGTTATGATCATTTTTATTTGCTAATCCAATAACAGTTGAGTTGCCAGAGGTTATTTGACATCATGTAGTGTGGCCTACAGAACGTTGTTTTATGTTGCAGTTGTGGGGTACATCGATGATGACCGCTACGACGATGACTCGGTAGAGGTCTACGGCTACCGCAAGTGGTGAATCAATCATCTATCTACACATCGATTAACGGCGGAAGCAGCAGAGTGGACATCGCCCGAATAATTAATTTTTCGTAGTAAATTTGATATTAATTGATTCGTGATGGATTAAAATTTTATGCTAGATTTTGATACAAATGCAATATCTTGCAGTCAAGGCATTTCAGTATCGTTACGTTCAGCTGGCAAAAATTGTTCATCTCTATGAAGATTTGTTAGTAACACTAAACTACCAGGGACGATGCAATGTATTTGACTAAAGAATAATATAATGTATTACAATTAAATATAATCTCTCTAATGCTGATATTCTTCTGTATGTTTATGGACAACTCTTATCTTCGTTGTTAGTCATAAATAAAGCGCTTATGACCAATGTTTCTTCTTACCCACAACGTAGGTACTATTAAAATAAAGTTTCATTCACGCCGGTCAAGTGACCACGTGCATTTCGTGATGTTCCACCTCTCGGAAACTTCTCGGGCCATGCAGTCTCTGAAATTCAGGGAACATAAAATATCTATCCAACAAATGCATACATACCCAGTACCCATATAAGGTTTATCCTTAAAGTTCCGAAAATTTCCACCAATTTATACTTAATTCATGAGTTCAACGTGGAGGCTTCAAGATGCATAAAGCAGCGATATTCTTCAAAAAACGTTGATTGTTGGTATTTTTGACTAAAAAGATATCACATGTGTAACTACTAACTAAAAGCGTTACATGAAAATTTTCTTGTACGGATTTTTTTTTTAAACTTATCTAATCCAATTCTAATGATCATGAACGCTCCAATAATTGAAAAATTAATTTTACAAATGTTTTCTATTGCATTTCGATCAAAAACCTAATTAACTTTTCATAAGAATTTTCAACCTAATTTTCTGAATCTGAACACATGAAGGGTGATAATATCTCCTTATGCTTCAAGTTTGAATGAAATCCGTTCAGTATTAATGGATTTATAGCTGGGTGAGTTTAACGCCAAGTTAGGTTTTGCGTTCGAGTGCGCAGGTCAGTTCGCAGGCGAGTTCGTTGAAGTGTCAAATCGGAGAAAAACCGCATTAATATATTAGAGGAGATACACTCAAATATATTAAACTGTCATTCGTTTTATTGAAACATTCACATACAATATGCTACGAAGCGTTAGTTTATTCTATGGATTCATTGGGCTGAATCTGATAAATACTATTTGCACCAGAGAATTTCGTATGCCCGTTGCCCTCTGTTATGGAACTACTCGATAACTCGAGAGCGCCTACTGCGCTAGGAGTCAGTGGTGAGGAAGTGATTGACGTGTGAGGTACACGCTGTGTACTGCTGACCTGCGTGAACTGATGTCGTCAATTGTTATTTGCTTTCTTTACCTTCGTAGTAACTGTCAAGTAGTTTACATATATAGTGGCTGTTTGAATGGGATTGACAAACGAATTATCAACGTCGATAATGAAAATTTCACCCTAAACCGTCCCTCGTGTCCTAATTACAGGCGGCGCAATTAATTCCATTCTTGGTGTAGCCTACGTGGTAAGCTTGTAACTAATCATATTTCATATCTATGGTGTAGCGAAATGCCGAAGGCAGGCTTTACTACTAGATTCACTTCCGTCATCATGCTCAATTTCGTCATGCTCAGTGCTCGCGGTAACCCATTTGCCCCATTACCCTATTTCACATCGGTGGAGTTGAAGAGTGTATTTGAATTCTTATGTCTTAATAAAGAGTGCCGTTCGAAATGTATGATTTAAGTTGTACTTGCGAAATTAATCTTTTTGTATTCTAATTTGTTAATTAGATTGCGCTACCTGATACCCAAATCGTCCTGTCAACAACTTTGTCATCTAGATGTTGCGGTTGGATTTTGGCGATGTCACTTTTTATCGGATCATAAACTGTTCATGAAAGTTTCCGGCTCGTTGCTTTGTAAATCTTAGAATGCGTCATTGATCTCGATTCTAAATGTTTACTTGCTCCAGCCTTACCGTCCGCGTCCAGTAGGTACCTATTCATCACCCCTGGTTCTTCAAACTTCGATCGGTCGCCGTGTTTAGTTGACCCCCCCCCCAATACTACAGTTGACCTTGCCTAATAAAACAAACCTCGCAGCTTCTACTCTTTGACGGAAGCGTGTATTGATGAAATATTTCTAATATATTCACAGGTGAGAAATCTTAAGGGCTTAAGAACTGCTAAGCACAACTTGAGTTCTCATGATACTCCTTAAATTTAGTTATTTTTTGAGCAATGAAACTAATAGAGCTCAGTAGGTAGTTTACCCTAAGCTGCAACAGGCGCAACTTCTCTATAAATTTACTCAGTTTCTCGACTGTGACTAGGTATATGCGCAGCGCTCTCCTATAAAAGCAAAAATTTCTCGATATTGTGTTGAATGTTTTTTTCTCAGTGTTTTCCCCAATTCTAAATCCGTTTCTCCAATGGTATCACTAATATACTTCTGATTGAATTTTCACCTTATTCTAATTAGTTGCAAGAACTGGACTGGTTTATCTTTGATTCTGCGTCACTGTTAGTTATACTAGGTAGCTAGCCTACTTTGATTTTTTATATTTACCGCACCCCGCCTTTTGCATAAATTGCAGCAACGTCGATGAAAGGTAAAGGTCAATTTTGACTAAACGCTCTGGTAACCTAGGATTTGGGTAGATCAATGTTTTGGTGGGTCTTCCTGGACTCCGCCCTAATTCAGTCCTCATGAAGCATCTTATTGCGCGAAGTGTTACTTTAGGTGCGTTTGACTTATTTCTAGCATCTGATACAAGGTTCCTATTTGATCATATTTTGAAACTGGCTACTTCGGATGTCCATAAACAATTGAACTAGTTACTAAAGTCGATTGAACTTACAACATACATTCGATTGAGGAATCTTTCAACATAAAGGGAATCGGATCTATTTATTCGCGGGCTAATTTTTAAGACATCAGTTGCCTTCGTTGAACCTTGCGGATTGCTCGAACAATTTACGCTCATCGGGGGTTCGAAATTATTTGAATGTATTTTCTGCTAAACCAGTGGTTCCCAAACTTTTTCAGGCTGGCGCCCCCTTTGGCTCCCTGGTGAATTTCTAGCGCCCCCCACAGACATACGACTTTCTTGAAATTAAGTACGGTGCAATTTTAAAAGATGAAGGTTAAACACAAATGTGTATTTCAGAAATAAAACTCCATTTAGTGAACCAATGTTTTTCAGCTGTTTGAACTGTTTCAGCACTAGAAGCCAAGGACGTCGCGGGCGAATTTACGGCCGGCCTCGTGGCCGGTCGCGCGACCAATCTCCAAATTCAATTATCGAGAAAATATCTCCCAAACAAATGAACGCTGCTCTATGAAACTTGGAACACGTATTCATCAGAACCTAACGGTGATGTTTAGCTCGTAAATTTTTTTAAATTTCACCTGCATTCGTGAGTTGCGCATATATTGCGAAACGGGCCGAAATTTGCATTGATCAAAGAATGTCTTCCAAACTATTGAACAGATTTTAACGAAATTTTGAATATACATTACTAACTACCAAGCGGTGATTTTTTTAGCTTATAAATTTTTTTTCGATTTTACCTTCGTTTGCGAGTTTTTTCATTTCACCGTCATTCTTGATTTCACACTTCCTTATATTCGGCCCGTATCGCCAGGAGATTTGTCGCTTAGATTCGCAGTGATCAATAAATTTCTTCTAAACTACAGAACAGATTTCAACGAAACGTTGTATATAAATGCATAACCTCTCAACAGTGATGTTTAGCTCGTGACAATTTTTACATTTTGCTTTCGTTTGCGAGTTATACAGATGTAGTAGGAACGACCGGCTTTTCTACCGGTCGATCGATGGCTTCTATAGATCAGAATTAGTATATGTATAGCCGTATAACTCGTAAACGAAGGCAAAAAGAAAAAAATGTAAACATTACCGTTGCTGAGGTTAGTTATTTAAATACTAAGTTTCGTTCAAATCTGTTCAGTAGTTTGGAAATAATTTCTAGATTACTGCGAATTTAAGCACGAATTGCTGTTTGAATCACGAACGAAGGTGAAAAAAAAAAAACTCGCGAACGAAGGCACAATAGAAAAAATTTTCACGAGCTAAACATTACCTTTTGGTAGTTAGGACTGTAAATTCAAAATTTCGTTCGAATCTGTTCAGTATTTTGGAAGATACTTGATCACTGTGAATTTCGGCCCGTATTGCCATATAACTATGGCAAAAACAAAAGATGGCAAAATTCAAACAATTTTCACGAGCAAAACATTACCGTTAGGGCCTAATGAATACGTGTACCAAGTTTCATAGAGTTAAGTTCATTAGTTTGAGAGATATTCCATGATCATTTAATTTGGAAATTGGCCGAGAGACCGGCCTCGAGTCCGGCCGTTAATTTGTCTAATTATCGAGAAAATATCTCTCAAACAAATGAACGCAGCTCACGCAGCTCTATGAAACTAGGAACACGTATTCATCAGAACCTAACGGTGATGTTTAGCTCGTAAATTTTTTTAAATATCACCTTCATTTGTGAGTTGCGTGTATATTGCGAAACAGGCCGAAATTTGCATTGATCAAAGAATTTCTTCCAAACTATTGAACAGATTTTAACGAAATTTTAAATATACATTACTAACTACCAAGCGGTGATTTTTTAGCTTATAAGTTTTTTTTCGATTTTACCTTCGTTTGCGAGTTTTTTTTTCATTTCACCGTCATTCTTGATTTCACACTTCCTTATATTCGGCCCGTATCGCCAGGTAATTTGTCGCTTAAATTCGCAGCGATCAAGAAATTTCTTCTAAACTACAGAACAGATTTCAACGAAACTTTGTATATAAATACATAACCTCTCAACGGTGATGTTTAGCTCGTGACAATTTTTCCATTTTGCTTTCGTTTGCGAGTTATACAGATATAGTAGGAACGACCGGCTTTTTTACCGGTCGATCGATGGCTTCTATAAATCAGAATTAGTATATGTATAGCCGTATAATTCGCAAACGAAGGCAAAAAGAAAAAAATGTAAACATTACGGTTGCTGAGGTTAGGTATCTACATACTAAGTTTCGTTCAAATCTGTTCAGTAGTTTGGAAATAATTTCTAGATTACTGCGAATTTAAGCACGAATTGCCGTTTGAATCACGAACGAAGGTGAAAAAAAAACTTGCGAACGAAGGCACAATAGAAAAAATTTTCACGAGCTAAACATTACCTTTTGGTAGTTAGGACTGTAAATTCAAAATTCCGTTCGAATCTGTTCAGTACCTAGTTTGGAAGATACTTGATCACTGTGAATTTCGGCCCGTATTGCCAAATAACTATGGCAAAAACAAACGATGGCAAAATTCAAACGATTTTCACGAGCAAAACATTACCGTTAGGTCCTAATGAATACGTGTACCAAGTTTCATCGAGTCAAGTTCATTAGTTTGAGATATTCCTTGATCATTGAATTTGGAAATTGGCCGAGAGACCGGCCTCGAGTCCGGCCGTTAATTTGTCAGAGACGTAAACCCAGGAGAGGTTAAAAAAACAAATCTGGGTGAAAAAATCATCGCCGGGAGTCATGTGCTGCACGTGTTGTGCACGAATTGTCTAACAAACGTTCGAACTTCTGACATCACTTCGGACTACCGCCCCCTATCGCCCTCTTCTTCCTTATCGCCCCCCAAAATCTTTCAACCGCCCATAGGGGGGCGATATCGCCCACTTTGGGAACCACTGTGCTAAACCTTCGGCATTGGCACTTCTTACACCCTATTGTCAAGTTAACTGTAGGTTGCCTGACGTTATTTGCACTTGAACGTAAATTGAAATTTGTTGGTCTTTACAATCTGAGTGCGAACACATTTATATTGTGGTTAGATATTTTATATTTTCAGAGATCAATGGAACATTACTTAGGCAATTTCTGTACACAAATTTCGCAGTTGCCTACTGAATTTCAGAAGTTGAAACTCTTAACGATATTTGGAGGTCTTCATATTTCTTCGTCGCATGTAGGGTGTCGCTAATTTCTTGATAACTAGGATCGTGAAAAGTTTATCGACTCTTAAAACTAATTTTATGTAAATTTCCAGAAATTTTTAATCGTAGGGTTTTAGTTTAAACTTTATCGTCTCATTTAATAATTTAAAACCAGAATTTGTTAATTTGGAGACATGCAGAGCATTGAGATTCCTGCACCTGCCACTGCTGGTTTGGCTCGGCCGGAATTCTCTGCCTTCCACAACATGTCCACCCAGGCCGACTTGGTTCATTGCTACGACCCAACGAGTGATGCTCTTGAGCGTTCCAGTGCAATTCCCGTCGTGAATGGGCGTGATGAAATACTGTATAGTGACGCCATTCCACAAAATTTACGGCAGTTTCCGGATGCTGCAGTCATCGCAAGCTCTTCAGCGAGTGATCTTTCAACCATTGGTATGTATGACAACGATGGTTGTTGGTATCCAACTCCTGTTGCTGCTGCCAAGCTTAGTCATTATGTACCTGACAGCAGCTATTCTCTCTGCAGTCCCTTGGCTGTATTAGGGCCTCCTATCACCTCCTGTGAATACGTGCCATGTAACCCGGCCCCTGCGCCCTGGACACCTATACTTTCCAGTTACACTGCCTCTGCGCCCTGGACACCTACCGGTGTACTTCCCACTTACACTGCCCCTGCGCCCTGGACACCTGTACTCCCCAGTTACACTGCCCCTGCGCCCTGGACACCTATGCTCTCCAGTTACACGAAATTCGCGTCTTACTATGGAACGAACGTCGCTGGCGTAATGCCGATGTTTCAGCCTCCCGTCCTCCCATATTGTCCATCGAATCCGGGGGTTCATAGTCCTATTTCGAGCTCGAACTCGAAGTGCTTCATTGAGACCGAGCCGCTCAAACCTGCGGAGACGTCAGAGCTGGCGTTAGTGCCGTACACCGGGGAGCGAGATATGGCGCTTCCTAAAGAGTTGTCACCGCACCTGCACTCGATTTACCACGCAACTTTCCGGATTGAAATGTTGTACGGACGCTTGAAGGGGGTTGGTGTGAGCAATGGAAGGCCAACGCTCCTCACTCCAGAGGAGTCATATCGTTCACCGTAAGTCTTCTAATTGTTTAACATTGTTAAAGCTTGTAGAAATAATTTTGATGTTATATATGGCCATTTGATGGTTTTATGGCCTTTTTATTCTCACGTTGCTTTCAACTCAGTATGAAAAAAAAATTTAAATTTTAGTAAATATCATGATTTCTTCAGTGCGAAATCTGGAACCCTAAGCCGAATTGAAATGTCAGGGTTTGTTAATTTTTGATAGTCCAATCATTTCATTGTTTTTCCACGAGAATTCAAATACTGTAGATTGATTTTTCTGGCCTTTTATTAAAGGCTGCGTTTTGGTAAATGCACGACAGATGTTACTCGCTTTCATGAACAATATCCAGCGTTCAACATGCACTGAAGGGTTTACCCGCCATATCTGAACGTCGTCACGCTAGAAAAATTCCGCTGGGCACTAATGGTTCGAATATACATTTGTAGGGAATCTTTGCCTCGGTTCCTTCTCTTAAAGCTTTGTTTTTCGCACCCTGTGATTAGTTAGATTATCTTGCGTAGATAGTAAGGTAGTCTAACGATCTTTCCACCTTAAGTTAGTAGTAGGGGTAGTTGTTCTACTTGAATCAAAATATGAACATACATTATGGTGCTTACTGTTGCTTGTGAAAAATTAGTAACGTGGCACTAATGTTCGGCATGTCGGGAGTAAAAATGAAATTATCTACACAGCAGTCGCGCACTGCTGAATAATGGTATCAGCAACTTCTTTTCAAAAGATAATCACATCTTGCATTTCTGTTGTCGCTATTTTCCGATTTGAGATTACTATCGACGCAATAGGGAAGCGGGAAGTTTTCAGGCGTGCATGTTACGGAATGCTTTACAGCTGCCACAAAGCTCAAAACGATGCCGAGCCGATGCTCAGCCAGTGTGCCTTTAATCCGTAAATTTAGGTTAAAATAACCAATTTGTCTAAGATTTTTCTCGACTTCACTTGACTTTGTTCACAGGGGATGAAGTTGAAGAACTTGCGGTCGTTCGTTTAACGAGTGGTTGTTCTCGATTGCCTGCGTTGCTTGGAAGAATGTGAATCTATTCTTTATTCTTGATTATATATTTCATTATATTCATTATATAGATATATATACTACCTTCTTCATTGTATAATTTAGCTAAGCAATTCTCACAGGAGTTTTTTAGTTCCAGAAAATGTTCTAGAGAAAGGAAAGCGATTACACTGTTCACAACTTGGAAGGTCTTCCTAGTGTCAGAATTTTGCTAGTCCACTATCTGTAAGGTAAAAAACAGCCTTTCATGCTTTGTAAAGTTTTCTTCTCGTCAATTACTTCTGGTCAGATTTGAAAAATTACCCTATGAGGGCTCATTTACAATTGTTGCATCAAATTTTTGAAAAAGTTGAAATGGTTTATTTCCCCTCAAAATTTGCCTTTGTATGTATTGTCACTAGAATCGGCTTCTAGAAAACTTCTTATTCAATCCATGCTGCTGCCTGCTTTCTGACGTCTTCAATTGTTACATGTTCCTTGACAAGGTGACTTGAAAAGTTGAAGCTGATTGCCGTTCTTCTGCTTCAAACAAGACGTTTGAAGATGCCTTCCTTGCCTAAAAATTTTATCCCTGATTTTTCTAGGTTATGCTACTAATTAAGTCTTTGTTGTCAATGCTTCAATGTAGCTAACATCAACGCTCAGCATCTCGATCTCGATTTCAATTTAATCGACAGCTTGGAAGAAAAATGCGACAAGGAATTGTTCAGAGACGTATGTATAATCTGCTGGTAGCACAAGCAACTTTGTTCCAATGACGTGCTTTTATAACGTATCTGTTAAAACCAACGTTAGAATAGTGGTTAAGGAGTGTACACAACACGCTAAGACAAGCGTATTGCCCATGTTGTTGGTCTTTTATCGCAGTGGCAGGAGCAGTCACGGCTCACGGGTAATTTATCTCTGGCCGAAGCTCGGCTTTCACGGGCCTTGTTTGCCGACTCAGCACCATTTGTCTAATCGCCGTATGCGAGGGCCTCTGACGCTGCAAGTTCAAAATCTAGATTTAATGTTGTTTTTGTAGCTGTTGCCTCTCCGCCAAACTCAAAATTCGTTTCATTATTGTTGGATTTAAATTTTCTTGTGGATCATTTTAACGATTCAGGCGGAAGTAACCATTAATAACAAATTCCTTCAGAAATAACCAATCGATAGGCGAATGACTGCTGATTTGTAACCGCCAGAAGGGAACGCTAGAGATTATGTAAATTATATTAGGTGGATGCTAATTATTGTTAATTACTTAGATGGTACTATTATATTGTCGCCTTTTTTAATACTAGTTTGAAAAAAAAAATCACTTTCTTTGCCGTTCATCTTTTTTTTTCAACCATGGCCGTCATTGTAGTTTAGTTTAATTTTTCAATTTCTTGAATGTAATTTCATCTTGCTAGAAAACGTTAGGTTACAGCAAATCTTCGTAGTCCTAGAATAAGAGATAGCAATTTTTCGCGTTCCCGGGTAATTTTAGAATACAGCAGGCAGCAATTCACTTCAGTTGGTTTATTTCAGAAATAGATTATTTCTGTTAAGTTAATGGTAGTGGAGTACTATCCTCTATGAATAAATAGTAACCTCTGCAGAATGAATAATAGTAATATAATATAGTAATAATAATATAATAATAGTAATAATAGTAACCTCTGCAGAATGAATGAATGAATAGTAACAGCATCGGAATGAACTTCCACAGCGGAGCAGTTGTTAAGTTTCTCTTGGTTACCAGCGACTAGAATAACCAAACATAGCCAAACAAGCGCCCGAGCCGGCGTGGAATACATTCGTCAACTCTTGATGTTGCGCGTAGTCAGCAAGCTGTGCCGCCTAACCGTCTGTATCAGATCGAGCTCTGGTTCCACTTCGATTTATTTTGCTTCCCTTGACGGCCGACCCATAACTTATTTGATGTATGTTATACGCAAGTGTCGGCATGGCTCAGATCGAGCTCGGTTCCACTTCGATTTATTTTGCTTCCCTTGACGGACGACCCATGACTTATTTGATGTAAGTTATCCGCAAGTGTTGGCATGGCTATTAGAAAAAATTACATTGGAAAGAGCGGATCGTCTATCCAGAATAAATTTTGCGAATTATTATTTGAATTGCCAGACTAGGCCAATATGGTCATCAATCATTCCTTGATCTTGATGTAGTATTAGCTGAATTTTTCTTTTCCAAGAATCCGAAGGTAGAATCTCTGACGCTACTAAATTTTTCTTGGTTCACGGTTTTCCCATCGTAACAGAAAACTTTCGAAATAGTAGAATTATTGCAAATTTTCGTATCATAGTAAGACAAGTGCACCAAAAAACTCGACCAATTTATTCTAAAATTTTTAATTACTCTTTTCCATTCAGACCTATCCGGCATCTTTGTTATGGGAATGAAAATTTATTTAGTTTCTAAATACGAATGCTTCGGTTTGGATTATAATAGCATAATAACTATTGACTCTGTGTAGCATTTGTTCACACGAACTGTTCACTTGCTGTGATGCTTTTCTTGCAATCATTTTTTTGTGTTATAACATAAAATAGTGATGTCGGCGCTGAAGGGTAGGCCTGATGTGGCCTGTCGCCGATTCTTTTATATTTGGTGCCTTGTTCATAGATCTAAAATAGTGTCATTTGACCGGATCTTTTCAGGACTGACGATAGTTTGCAATAGCTACTAGACTTCCACCGGGTTCGATATGGTGCTAGGTATTTCAAGTCTGAAAATGTATTTTTCCATAGCTTAGTCTAGTCTGTTCTTGAACGCGTTCATACTCGGAGCGCAAACGATGTAACCGGGCGATTTAAGCGTTTTTAGCAAAAAAAATATCGAAGTTTTTCACTGCAGTGCGACAGACTTTTTTAGCTTGATTTCGAGCTCTTGTACACGGGTTATAATCTGAATCGCTGCGAGATTGCAAATAACATTTATAGGCTTCCTTTTTGGTCTTTAGCTGAGGTTTAACTGTACTGTTCATCCACTGGGAATTTTTGACAACTCCAAGCGTAATCTTGGATACACAGACCTCGACAACATGAATCGGCCACATTCATGTCCTTAATACAGTCCGAAATATTCGCCGCATTCACCGCTTCACGGAGTTTATCGCATAGTCTCCTTTCGCAAAGTTCAAACGTTCACGTACACGGGTTATAATCTGAATCGCTGCGAGATTGCAAATAACGTTTATAGGCTTCCTTCTTGGTCTTTTGCTGAGCTTTAATTGTACTGTTCATCCACTGTGAATTTTTGACTACCCAAGCGTAATCTTGGATACACAGACCTCAACAACATGAATCGGCCACAATCATGTCCTTAACACAGTCCGAAATATTCGCCGCATTCACCGCTTCACGGAGTTTATCGCATAGTCGCCTTTCGCAAAGTTCAAACGTTCACGTTTCCGAAGCGGTACTGTTCTTCCACTGGGACTTTTTGGCTCCTCCAAGCATATCACTGATCCAACCTGACAGTTCTTCATGCACTTGCCTGCGACAGAACCTATTGTCGACAATATTTCGAAAGTCTACCAAAATGTAGTCTACTGGCGTTCAACTCTTAATCTGCTTAAAGGAATTTCCATAGAGTTAACATACCATTAGGCATGAGTGACCTTGACGGTTAATTTATCTCGTATAAAAAGTTGTCGGCTCGCTATAACTGTCTTGATATTCCTTTCCATGCATTGCACTAGTTATTACATCCACCGACAAAAAGATTTCAGCGGATATTTTCGTGAGTCTGTCACCGCCAGCATTTTTCACTCGGCCTTCATGACGGTTACTTGTTTGTACACGCAAAAATTCTTACATTCCTATTATAATGGCATTTTTTGACCATTACTATTACCATCAAATATCGCGATATTGGTGAATTTTGTGTGAAAGAATTCTATCAAATGACAAGGTGAGATCCCTTTGTAATTTTTTAAACGTCCAGATTGAAAACATTACCTCGGAAGTTTGATGTCCTTGATAGAAGAGGGATTTTAGCGTGAACAAAATTCCGACTGCCTAATTAGTTAAGCACAGTTCTGGATGTCACAAGCTATTAAAGTAAATAAACTATTTTCAGGGGACTGGAGAATGTGTGGGCGAAGCACTTCGAGATACTTTTCCGCCTCTTGGATGGTCGTTGGACTATCGCTCCAACCTTCTCCAGGCCATCTTCTGGCTGGCTGCTCTTCCGTGATATGGCTAAAGTTCGCTTCTCGTGCCAGGTGAGACAGGTTCTTGCATCTAGAAGAAATTGTGGGATGTGGGACTCTATTTAATAATGGTTTGTGTCAAATTGCCGCTGAATGGTTGCTTCTCAAAACTTGGGCTCAAACGTGTGAAGCTTCCTACTCTTCGGTCATTCGCCAAAGGTTCTAGTTGTGTAGAATCGATCAGGCTATATTAAAGTGCAATCGATATTGAATTATATAGATGGATATAATTCAGGTAGCGATTTTGTGTTGAGCGTGAAATCTGTTTCTAAAGTCCAATCTTTCGTGTCGGCCGTTTTAATTATGGATGAAGACGCGTTTCATCATGTCGCGGTATGAGTTAATTTAAATTTTGTGCTTCAGATATGTATGCGCGGCTGGACGAGCATGTTCGGTGTTGTGCTCTTCTTCTACCGGTGGAACCCTGAACAGAAGTGTGGCTTCGTTCGTTTCTTACTCATGGGGCAGAGTTGCAGCAAATGCGCTAAACAGAACGTCTTCTTGACGCCAATGTGGTACCCGGAGGAGGCACAAAGGGTAAGCCTTAATTATACTACGTAAAATACCCATTTCAGAGCTCTTCGTTCAAACCCATTTTTGAAAAAATCGTGGAAAGTATTTGTAGGATTCACAAGATATTTTAACTGTACACTTGTCATTGAGTCTGCCTAGCTGGGGCACCATTTCCATTCGTTTGCCAGTGAAAGATGAACTAGGAATTTTCTTTTCATAGTTACACGAGCATCTTCGCCGCACCGAAAGAGACCAGTTCGAAGTGGCGTGTAACATGACATAACTGAATACTTTTAGTTTGATCTGTGTAATAAGACAAATGTGTGTGGCCAAAACTTGAGATAACTTTTCTAAATATGTGAACAATTTTTCACATTTGGTAAACGAAAACGTATGGTAGCAGTTGTGTGTGCTGACTGCTGAGACGTGACCCGGTTACTAAAATGAGAGCGGGTAGTTTGTTAGGTTTATTTTGTTCCGTCACATGGTGTTGCTTCTTTCAAAATTTGCTTTGAGTATGGAGGAGAAAGTAAATGGAATTAGTTACCGTGATCTAATTAATCGAAAGAATGAGGTTCTCTCATTCTCGTCCAGAGCATTTTTCCGTGCCAAATTCCTGATAAAGTTTTTGCCGCGACCCGGGGCACTTACGCATCCTGACAAGCCCGAATAGAATTTGTTAGAAATAATTTTACTGAAGCGTCATGAAAACGTAAATTACAGTGTACATTTACGTAATTGTATTATGGTACATAAAGTATAACCACCTTCCAGGTCATGACCAACTTTTTCTACAAGATTTGCTCCAAAGTTTACGGTCATACTGCTCCGCCGATGAACCAAGATCGGCGCCACGGCCGGCCGCGGCTGCAGCACAACTCAGGACAGTGTCAGGGATGCGTCTTGGGCCTCTGCAAGCCACAGAAGAAGTTGTGCATCACGGATAAATCCAATGAGGAAATGCCGGAAGCAGGGAGGGAAGGTCACACGGACTGCTCGGAGACTGAAGTACAACGTGACCCTTGCGTCCAAAAAGCCATAGACGGGGTACAGAAAGCCCTCGCTGAGCGGGCCAGGAGCGCGGCAGACGTGATGAAGCTAGGCGTTCCTGGAGCAAAGTGCAGAGTTGACGGCACCAATCGTGCTCTCAAAAAGAAGCTTTAAGAATACAATCGGAGGAGACTTTTCGGCAGGTGAAGAAATTTCGTAAGTTTTTCAGCAAGAATTTCAAACTCTCAACCATTACATTGAGAGTTCCCACCGCCTTGAGTTGACTTTGTAGTTAGAAAAAAGGAATCGTTATGATCGTGATCAATTGTCGACTGATGATCGGAAATTTCTTTTGAAGTTGACCAAATTTGTGGAGAGGATGTCACTTCGTTTTAGCTGGTTGTATGAATGGAATTATTTTATTAGTTGGTTATGCTGCTGATGTTTCATAGAATTAATTACTTAATTTTTAGCTTTAGACGATTACATGTTGTACTGATGTGTTATCCGTTGCCAACGATGATTTTGGATCTGAATTGAGACGGAATCGTTAAACATTTCTAGTTAACGCAGTTTTCCCGATAGTGTTGAAGGCTGCCAGTTGTGTGACAGTAATTGTCCTTTCAATTCACAAGTCTTAGCAAAAGTTGCTCGCGTCAGTCTTAATATCTCCAATAAGTTGGACGCGAGATGAAGAACCTTACTCTTTCATGAATCGATGCTATTATTTGGATCTCGGTATTCTGGTCGGAGGTTTTCCTCTCTAGTCGCCATAATAGGCAATGAGCGTAGGTTCTAGCACTTGCACGCGCCTGCATGGAGTTAGGACAAACTTGACCAAGACTTGCTAATTTCCCGCTGTGAATCCGCGATCCAAAGAAATCCGTCGGGTCCTGCTGCATCGCCAGGAAAGTTCTTCCTGTGATGCATTTGCTAAGATAACCTCGCTTTTTACGTGCTTAGAACATGTCTGTTCGGTAAAATTTTATTTTAAAACGTTCCGTAATTTCGTCATGTTGTCAAAGGCTTCATTTGTATGCCTTAACAGGTACTGTTCATGAGAATTTATATTTCTAGTATTAATTTTAATCGTATAATTTTAGAATAGAATTCGTTGAATAATTTAAGTACTTCTGTGAAGGCCACCAATTGCCTATCTGAATTTGGGAAGTGTGAAAGGTTTACCGAGAAAGTCGAACTGTTTGGTGGGGGCAGTGCCTGGCGGTTAAAAATTGAGCATTTCTCAAAGTGTGCAGTTGTGTACGGTTTGGCAGTTTCTTGCTAGTTTGTCTGAGTTATACGTTCAACTCCGCTTGGCCATTTTTGGTGCTACTATTTTAAGATTTCATTAAAATGTTCCTCAAGTTCAAATATTCTCAATCATTAACTAGTCCTTCCTAACATGTGGTGCGTTACGGCCTTCTAGGTAGCGCGCTTACGCTTCGTGATCATTAACGATTTTGAACGAATCGATTGCTTTTTACTGAACAGTATATGATCGACCAACGCACGCACGCCATTCAAGTAGTCCCTGCAGCGAACAGTAAATTCCAGTAGAAAACTTGTGACAGCTTTTCAGAGATTGAAATGATGAATAATAATGCATATATTTTGGTATGTTTCTTAACCGTTCGCTTGAATGTCACACTAATCCACATTGAGAACCTCAGTAGAACAGTCTAGAATTAACGAACCGAAGTCTCGCTTTTCAGCGATTGAATCACTCTGACTCCGATTGCTTTATCTTGTATTATTATTTCATCTTTTGTACTGTTTTCAAACAGGGTTGCCAGACGGTCATTTTTTCCGGACAAATTCCGTGATTTGGTTTTCCTCAATTGCGTTGGCCGGCTACAATTTATTATTTTCATAACGGAACCTACAAATGAACTAGTATATATTGAGTTATCGGCCTTTTTTGTTCTCGGATTTGGCCGATTTTATGCAACCTGAATTATGTACCACAACGTCCTGGAGAAATACATTTCGTGCTACGCGTATGTACCACTTCGGAGTCAATGTGTCTAATATAGGCACTCAGACCCGGCCAGGAAACTTGGGCAAGAAAACTTGACTGAGAAAATTACAGAAGAAATTCCTGCAATGAAGTAGCATTAGTTACCTAGCTCTTATTTAAACCTTAATCGTTCTGCGAACAGCATACAGGTTTACTCGTACAATTAAAGAGAATTTCAACAATCCAACTTAATTTACCATCAAAATTGGGTTAACTTGAAACCGGATTTTCAACCAAAGTTCTTCATTTCAAGGAAAACGGTACACGAGAAATAAGATTGCGTTGAAGGTTTAGAGTTTTATTATTCCTTCTTCATTGCAGCTAGTTGTTGGATCGCATCTCTTGTTTGCTCCTCTTCAGCTTTCAGTTCTTTGAGTCGGTCGCTGTTCTTCTCCTTGACGTCATCTGGGACCTGAGAGGAAGACAAGTCATTGACTGCAATCGCTATGATTTTGGAAATTTTCATTAAAAAAACGTGGCCTTTAACAATTTTCTATCATCACAGCCTTATCTGTTTAAAGGCGTTATCTGTTTAAGCGTCGTAAAAAAATGAATTATTATCTCATTTGTCTTCGAACATTATGTAGATTTTACCTTGGCGTAAGAATCCTTGGCCATGTCAGCTGTAAGAGCGCCGCTCTTGTTCAAGCACTCGGCAAGCTTTTTCTGCAATCTTTCTTCGCATTTACTCAGGTCCACCAATCCCTGAACAAGAAATCAGTTCAAGTTTCTACACAGATTGGTGTACGCGAACACTGATATAAAGAAAAGTGATATAAACTACCCCAAAACAACTACGAGCAGTCTGTCACCTTATCGAAACTACTCCCCAATTAGTGAAAAAAATGGATAATCAAACAGTGAATCCCTTTAAGAAAATTAGTTTTAAAAATTCGGAAAGGCACATCACAAGCAAAAAAAAATTTATCTCGGCCGCAGGTCAGAAAGTCAAGCAATTGGGACCTGCAATTTGAGCCAAGCGACGCAATCTCCCCCCACTGGCGTGGGTACCGAGCCGCTGGGCTGCTCGGTCGTCACCGTCACTGAAGAAGCGATCGCGAGTGTCGCTATGTCGCGACTCAGAGACTCCAGCACCATCTGCGTCGAACTGTTGTCGCTCATCAGCGACACTGTGATCAAGGGAAAAAACATAATTGGGAATCTTGTTCGTACTGATACAAAAGAAGGTTCGTGTAAGTTAAAATCTGTATCAATAAGATTCAAATAAGCAAAGGTTGTCGTCGGTAAATAAACTTACGTTCAATTTTACTTTTGTTGGGAATATCATATTTAGCTTTGGCAGACCGCACTTCGTTGATGACCTTCTGTCCAAGTTTGAATTGCTCCTCTGCCTCTTCATCGATGAACATCAGGTACTGGCGGAATTAAAGTTATTAGTGGAAATCATAAAAATGCTGAATCGCTAAATAATCGCCATATAAAGGACGACAGAAACTAGTACTTGCGAGGAGAACAGATCCGTAGACAGTGCCTGGAAAAAACAATTCTGGATGAAAGAGGCAAAACGCGAATTCAATATTTTTCATCGTGAACATGCAAGATTTTGCTAGGCTATGAAAAGTGACCTAGACTTATAAACTATACCGAAACAAAAATCTTTAAAAACAATATGGATTCAGAGTATATATTCAGATTGACTCTAAGATGTGTGTATAAAATGCTATAACAGGTAACACTATGGTCACAACCTAACGGCAAACGAGAACATTGAATTCTGAATTTATACACAATCTCTTGACAAACAAAAACAATATTCAAATACCTTAACAATTCGTAAATGGTTTAAAGTTTAAACTCTTATATGGAGCTTAATTTTCAGGCATTACGAAATAAAGAGTCATAACTGGAGGCACGTACGTCTTCAGTGTCAGGGTAGGGCGCAACGCAGATCGACTCAGGCTGCACTGCTCCAGGAGGCACAGGCAGACGCTGGAACAGCTCTTCCGACAGGAAGGGCATGAAAGGAGAGATGAGGCGTAGACCGGTGTGCAGGCATGTCCAAAGCACCTGAGTAAATCAAGCACATTTCAATTCAATTAAACAGTTCTCCAGGGTTGAAAATACCTTACAACAATCCGCTCAAGCTTATTGTATATAGGCGCAATTCAAATTATATATGTGATTCCATGTTAACTGGTGAACGTATTCAAGTCGAATGGAAGTAATGAGATGGCAATCTCTGCTTCTGACAAATAAACACTCAAACGATTATTTGTCTGCCATTGACTAAGCGAATCAGTAGTGATCGTTGTTACCTTGTACTTCCAGTCAATAGCCACGGTCAAAGAAAAGTTAGTTCAAAACTAGGAAAGGTTATTTATTAGAATCATAAGAAAGTTAAGCAGACTATCAGTCATCGTTAAAACTGCTTTACTGTTCGAGCACGTCTTTCTTAGTTTATTTCATCATTTCAACTACATGTAATCCTGCTACAGTGTTAACCAAGATACGTTAGGAGAGACTCGCAGAGGCAGACCTGTTGGGCGGCATCCCTGTCAGCACACGGCTGACCGTACAGCCGCGGCTTGATGCACTCCAGGTAAGAGTCGCAGATGTTGTACCACCACAGCGAATACAGCGCACTCGTCGCCGCCTGGAAGTTGTAGTCTTGGAATCCAGCGTTGCAGTCCCGCACTGCCACCGCAAGTTGACTCAGCATCCAGCGGTCGACGATCCTCAGTGAGCCCTGCAAACTTCAGTTTTTGAGCAGCCACACTTAATTTGTACCTATCACACTACACAACAACAAAAGGTGTTTATAGAGATTTCAACGTTATCACAAAAATTATTTGGATTCGTCATGAAATAGATGGCATTCAAGAAATATAAAGCACAATAACGGTAATTAAAATTGAATAGATGTATTACTAGTTTTAGTTGATATATCTTTTATCACTATTTTTGATAACCTATAATTATTCTACGAATTTTCATGCAGTCGGGTGCAACAGAAGTTAGAGAGCATGTTACATATTGAGCGAGTTAGTTAAAAGTGAGTAACCAAAAATAAAGAAAAAGCAGCAGAAACAACGTCAGTGACCTCGCTCCAAAACAGTCTAGTCGTCTGCCCTCAATCAAAAATGAGGAAAAATCTATGTTCATTTCCCAAGATGCATCAACTCAACGACGTGGCTAATGACAAAAAATACGATTGAAGGTTAGTATTTATCAAAACAACGATAAAGCGAAATAAGGACGTTGCAATCAGTACATAATTACACCATGTAACATAATAATACCAAGTAACACCGAGTCATGGTAAAGAAGGGATATGCATAGTAGATGCTATAGCATTTACCAGGACATAGGCAAATTTGAAATAGGTTGACTTGAGGCAAACAATGGAAATAATTGGGAATGCACGCTTTCAAACGAAAAACATTGATCAAAAATAAATTAAAAACAACTTAGAGACCGAAAAAATTTTAGTAGGGACTATAAATATTTAATTAATAAAAACTCAGGGGATAAGCGAAAGGTCACCATCCCTCACCTCTCCATCAGCACATTTACTTCTGGTATCTCTACACAGTAGTTCCCACTGGCGGAGCTTGATATCTTGGCAACAGGCCCAGGATTCAGCAACATCAGGGAAGGCTTTTTTCTCATCATCTGAATAACTTGCAATGTGTTTTAACCATCGAGATAAATGAGGCATTTGTGCGGATGACTCTAACTGAGACCGAAGTAAATGGAATATCCTGACGTCGGCTTGGTGGGGCTGGTATCCACATACGTAGCTCGAGTGAGACAAATGTTTGTCTAACAATTCTAAGAGACGCGCATCACACAAGGCAGCAGACACGTCGCCTTCTACTGCAGGTCCGTTGCACAATGAACTTGCTTTCGTCATTTTCCCGTGTTGGCTACGGGCCTAATTTTGAAGAGACCATGAATGTCGAGTAATACAAGAAGTCATTCCTATAGTCCCAATACTAGCGAGCATAACTCAAACAACAAAGGCAGAAAAATACCAATGTACTGTAGAAACTACAAATGATGTACATAGAGAAACAGTTTGGAAAATTCATTTTATCAAACATATATATCCGAGATAAGTAATAGATTAAGGAGTCGCAACGCCAGAGCCGCTATAACCACACAATGTTCTACTTCTAGTGAGGTTCCCAGCCGTTGTTCGCCAAGCACCCATAGTTTCAGCTCCTCAAAATTAGTTACAATAACATGACAATTATTTGTGTATTTTCCAGTCACGATAAAATTAGAATGCTAGATAGGTTAAATGAACCTTATAGAGGCAGGTTGTTTCTCGATAAATGTGACTGAATTAGTTGCGTGAGTCTCTCATGACACCTATTCATATGAATAGCATTCAGGACATCCATGACTAATGATCAAACTGTGGTAGTCATTCTTAGCTTCGCATCGCAGAGCTTCTAGGTAACCATTAAATACTTTCGTGATGATAGCCTACCTAATGCTAATAAGAAACCTGATCAAGCGCAGATTCCATGGATGGCAGAGATACGGTGACACGAGTAATCCGTTTTAAAATACAAATAAATTAACAAGATAATGAGATCTTCAACTTTGAAACACAACGCAAAGACGTTTGAAGAACACTGAAAATGAGTCAGCACCCTAGAGAACAATCACCAATGCAGGTCCCGTCACAATTCTTCTTGGCCTCGCCTGCCTCGCCGCGCGAGAACCGACGAGATCAAGACCAACCCCAGTGCATTGAACTTTCAATGATGAAACAAACTCCCGGGAAAGGTAAAGCAGATTTTGAAAACCCCAACCCACAGAGAACAGAGGCAACAAAAAATTTTACCATTGCGTGGAGTTCCTTGAGAGACGAGAAAGGGGTGAAAGGAGTAGCGAGGTTCATCATGGCAAACTTGGTTGCATTCCAGAGCTTGTTGCAGAAATTACGATACCCGTTGACGCGCAGAACGTCCAGGTTGATGTCTCGACCTGTTAAGACGAGAGCAATCAAAATATTGTCAATAATATTACGGTGGATGATATTTCCAGCTATCCCCGTCGAGAATAAGATCAGCACGTGAGACATCAGAGTTCCCCTTAATTAATTTTCATGCGTTATTAAAAACTCCAATTATCTCGAAGTTGAAATTCGTATAAAAATATGTTGCAACAATCGTTTTATGTGGAGCAAACTAGAAGGTAAATATTTTTAGTGAAAATAAAGCGGTAACTTGTTTAAGACACGCCTAGCATAGTGAACAACTACAAATTGAGACTAATATCATGGAGTGTAAGCAAACAACTAAGCGTTGTGTCGATGTTCATTCAATCAACTCTAAGCCCTCCCAAGATAATCTTAAAAGTACGGAAAAAATAATTCGTGGCCTGGAAAAAAAGTGCCTTGGAATTCAAACCATTACCTCTGCACCCTAGAAATAGTCTTCAAAAGGAATTTAAAAGCAAAGAAAACGTCAAGAAAATTTTCCATATCGATATAGAAAACGTTTCCGAGTCCATATGGTGAATTCACCATATCGATATTCACCAATTCACCAATATCGATATGGTGAATTTTCTTGGCGTTTTCTTTGCTTTTAAATTCCTTGTGAACTTGCGATATAAGCAGACTGATAATATAAGTACTTATAAACGATAGAAATAGTCTTGAAATAGACCCAACTTAGCAAACCTTATACTTGGGCAATTTTCAACAGATCAAGAGAAACAGCTTTAGGCAACCATGATCTGATCCCCTAAACAACTTTGGTTGCTTAGTGCTAAACTTTTGCTGTTAGGCAGCAGCAGTAGACATGACCTACAATTTCGTAGGCCTGGAAAGACGCGACCAGGGCACTCATGACATGCAAGCCACTTCATCCCTGCGTATTGAGACTTATTCTTATTCTTATAAGGGACTGCGTCCCTTAGACTTATTATTATTCAAATAACAAATTCTTGATGAAAGCTTCACGACTAAAGAAATTCAGAAAAAATACCCAAAGAATCTTAGTAAACGATTAAATTTTCCGCAGTTCTGACCCTGAGAAGTGTATGCACATAGAGCGAAACGTAGAGCATCAGTGCCACACTCAGGGATGCCTTTAGGGTAGTCACTCTTTTGACCCATCTTAGCCTTCTCTACTTCCTTGGGATCAAGGTTGCTGTTCTCTTCCAGCTGAAGGTGAAGCTCCTGAGTAAAACAACGAACAAATTTATCATGACTATACTGGATCATTGCGAAAACCTGATTTTGTTATAATATAATATTATCCCCCTTTAATTTTCAAAAAATTATCAGCTAGTAAATATTTAATTTCTATTGAAATGCATAAATAATCAAATAAATCACTTTTATTGCACAGACCACAACATGGCATAGGCGGAAAATTTAGCTTAAATTCAAATATCATGCACCAATTGTGCACAACTGCCATTATTGCACAAGTTTCACTGTGTCCACCACAATACCACATTGACGGAAAAAACACAGACGGAAAAACACCGCAGTGACGGAAAAGCAGCATTTATAAAACAGTAACGGAAAAGCAGGATGAAATGTGTGATGGAGAGCTACCTCTAATGTGATGCCCTTGATCACGTCCATGGGGTCGATGACGTTCCCCAAGCTTTTGCTCATCTTGCGACCGTGGGCATCGCGCACCATTGCATGCAGGTACACTTGCCTGTAGAATTATATCAGTAATTAATTACCGAATGTAAAAGCATTAATGATATGACGTTTAAATTAACGCGAGATATCGTAAGCTAGCGTATTAACTCACCGAACCTACCGTAAAAATGATAGATAATTATCAGGTCAAGTTTACATTAAAAGCCTATATAGATCATACAATTTCAGACACAAGCAGCAACAGACACTGCAGCAAGATGGAATGATAGAGCAATAGGTAATTGATGAAAGGCCATACATTCTATTCATATTGCCACTTATTTTTAAATTGCATAGCTCACTTGAAGGGCAGTTTGCCTAGGAGTTTCCTGCCAAAGAACACCATCCTAGCCACCCAGAAGAACAGAATATCATGTCCAGTTTCCAACAAAGTGCCTGGATAGAAAAGTTCCATGTCGCGCGTCTGATGAGAGAGAAGAAAGAAACATAACAGGACAATTTACTTCAACTCACTGTAAAGGCTTCGTGTCATAGCATGACCGACTAGGGGGAATTATAAATTAATAGTGCACCCGCTTAACGTTGACCGCAATATAATAAATAGAAAACGGCGACCACTTCGCTAACTTGGGTTTACTCTCTGCAGGAGCTATGTTAAAATACATATTACAGGTCCAGCTCTATTATTTTTGTTATGTGGCGCATCAATACTAAAGTCTTGATAGAAAAAGTTCGTTCCGGAAAATCCCACAATGACCGTACCTGAGCATTATCTGTATCAAATAATGACGTTTAACTTTATTAATACTTACGATTGTAACTGCTTTACAGTACTTTGGCCATAACATTAGAGAATTGTAAAAAGATACTGATGTCTGATGATTCATGATTATGATGAAAAGTGCCTGACTCACCTTCTCAGGCCAACCCATTACAGAGAAAGGGAAGAGAGCAGAGCTGTACCACGTATCGAGCACGTCAGGATCTTGAACAAGGCTGATCTCTGACTCCGCTACACCGAACTTGGTCGCGGCTTTCTTGCGCGCTTCAGCCTCACTTCGGCCACACACCCAGCGCGCGGCTTCATCTACGCCGGCCTGCAAACAATACATGCGAACATTCAACAAACAGATATTCTTCCGGATTCCTGCATGACATACAATCTTGGCTTTTAACATGTCAAACATCCCCCAAGATTAGGTGGATTTTAAAATTTTTCCACAAGATTTAAATGAAATATTATCGTTATCTGAAACAAACATTGGGGATATTGAGCATGTGAAGATTCTATTTTCTAAGCTCAAGCATGAGGATGAAACATCGAGCACCACATTTTCATCACTCCAAGATGCGATATATTAACAATATATGTCCGTAAGAATTAACACAAAATTCAAATAAGCAGCACGTTGATGGCGTTCGGGATTATGGATGATCGAGTGTTGCACGTGTAGCGAGATACCAATCAAGATACCAGTTTCTAATTCATTTATAAGGTTTTTACTCTCCAACGACAATCAATCTTTTACAATCGAAAAGCTATTATTTTAAACCAAATTTGCAAACTTTTTAGCCTCAAGCAGGATAAAAATATGCATTAATGCCATTTATCTTATCCGAAGAGGGTAACCTGTTCAGCCTGAGGCCAGGTGACGTAGTAGGCAGGGATGCGATGTCCCCACCACAGCTGGCGAGAAATGCACCAGTCACGGATGCCGCTCATCCAGTGATTCCAGGTCTTCTCGTGGACCTTCGGGATGATTTCCAGCTCTCCTGAGGCCACCACTGCAATTGCGTCCTCGGCCATCGCGTCGCATTTCACGTACCTGTCAAATTCAGAACACAACGATCATTTAGAGTAATTTAAATGTACAACAGAATTACATTTTCAGCATAATTAGGGTATAGTGTACCTCAATGAAAAAATGAGTTATCATATATACAAGCCGTACATATAAATAATATGAATGTAGCACACAAAATAAGTAACCAGGTGATAGAGAAAATAAGTGCAACTTTTCATTTTGGAAAATATCAAGAATACTTTCTCCGGAAGGTCTGAACAACGTTGTAGTATGACAACATCAGGCACTTATGCTCGAAATTATGCTCCCATTGAACCATTTACCATAACACCAATACTCGGTAAGGCCCAAATAGCTAGTAGCAAACATTAGTGCAACATTTTTCATCAATAGCTTCTACAGAGAAACAATACAAAGAACGAATTCGATAATTCATATGCCAGTTAAAGGGAAGTTGGCTATAATCACAACTTATTCCGATCACTCATACGAGATGTGTTTGCTAACTCAAGTGCCGACATTGCTGTGGATGCAGTTTAAATGCACACAAAGTCTCACCATTGCGGTTTGAGGAGAGGTTCGATGATATCTTTGGAGCGGGAACAAATTGGCACCACCATAGGGTTGTCTTTGGTGTCAACATAGAAGCCCAACTCTTCGAGTTTTTTAGTCAACTTGACCCTGCATTCGAAGCGATGCTGACCCTGGGGTATGTGAGGCACTTGTGAATAACATAAAAAAATCAGTCAAATACCCACAAAATTATAGTCATGAATCGTTAATAAAAAACACAACCTAAACCGATAATAATGGGGATTTATATATCATACTTATAAATGTATTATATAAATTCAAACTAGCGCTGCGCATACAAACACATCTAAAACACGAAAATAACACACAAAATAAGCATTGAAAACAATGTACAGATAACTAAGAAACAATTCGCTCCGTAAACTTCAATGTTATCCTAATAAAGTTTTGACTCACGCTGAATTCGCCGAAGCCCTCCACGATCCGCCCCTCGTCGGTAAGGATGTTGACGAAGGGCAGGTCGTGGCGCTTGCCCACGTCGTAGTCGTTGGGGTCGTGGGCAGGCGTGATCTTCACGGCGCCCGTCCCGAACTCCATGTCAACGAAGGCGTCAGCAATGATGGGCAGCACGGCGCCGGTGATGGGGTGCACCACAGAGCTGCCCAGCAGGTGCTGGTATCTGGGCAAAACACTCAGAAAATGAATGGGTTATAATGCCCAAATAAAGACAGGGTTGTGATCACCTAGTAAGAGATTAAGAGAGAAGTGCTGTCGCAACACGCATAGAACAGCATCTCCAAATTCAGTGATGAATGCTATTAATTGGAAACGCGTCCATTGCAAAGAAGCATTGTAGCAGCTGCAGCAGGGATCATCTGAAACTGGACCTGCAAACTCGGCATGATGAACAAGGCAGAATACAGCGTATTATCTCCTAACACGTACTGTACCGCCAAGAAGACGGTGGTTTCATACGAGAAAGAATTCCTGCATCAGTCAATGCAACTACAATTTTACAATGGTATTGGCCAGAACAAAACTGAGAAATAATACGTAATACAATACATATAGTCTCAGACTATAAAAAAAAAACATTTTAGTTTTTTCCCCATATCTTTTGTAGAATTGCACTTAGCACTGTGAAATTTGTACCAAACCTCATGAGTACTTCTAGTGTATATACTCAGAAATTGTCAGGCTTATAGCGCCACAAGTTTTTAGTTAGCAAGCTAAATTATTCGAAATTTAACAAAAACACATGTGCTCAAAAAAACAGTGTGTTAAGAAAAAACACATGTAAAAATTTTTTCTGAGTGAATTTTGCCTTTAAAAATGATACGGTATATACCTTGAAGGTTTAACCTTATTTATTCGTTACTAGCCTTCTTTTGTCACATTTATTAGGATTTGAGTCTGAGGATATGAAATATCAACTGGTTACATGACAACACAGACAGAAGTCTGGTGGCTCGTTGGACTGTAGACTTTTAGTAATGACTAATATTTTTAAAACTGGTTTTATTGACTTCTGAGCTTATTTATGCCAAAAATAGCATCGAACATTAAGAAATAGTTTTAAAAAACATACTTTGTCTAAAAATAATTAAAATATAATTTTTCAAGACATATGCGAGTTTTTTTCATATTTCACTTTGAGAAAATATATACAGCTTGCAAACTAAATCATAAATAAATTTGAAAATGATATTAAAGTTACAATTTAATTTGGGAAATTATAGTATAGTTACAAAAAATCTCCGCAAAGTACATTTCTCTAGCAATGATGCCACAAAAATGACCAAAAAGGCGTCCAAGCAAAAAACGCTAAATGTTAGGAAGGAAATATGCGAAGGAAATATCTGGGGATTACATTTTTTAAATTTATTACATTATTATACTTCTGGAATGACTATAGAACTTGGGAATATAGAACTCTGGAATGACTATAGAACATATAGATAATTTTTTAATGGGTCGGTCTTTTTCTACCCACAATTGCCATGGGTTATTTTGAGAGTCTGGGACTATAAAAAGATTTTATGAACCATATTACAATGTAAGAAGTAAGAATGCATGAGCGTTTTTCTCAAGTGCGACAGATATCAGGCTCGGCTTCTATGGAATAGCTGACACGCAAGTTAGGATAGCCAATATACAGCACTTCGATATGCGAATCCTAATGCATTGGGCTGTATATTTCGACGACTTTGATCGGGACGCCGGGTGTGGAGGGTCGGTGGGCGGGCACAGATTGAGATGGCCAGGACAGCACAAAAAATATAACTCAGTACTCACTGCAGTGAGTGTCAGTGAGCGCATTTTCTTGTCGACGAAAACGTGGTCACGGACGGACGGACATGACGAGCACAATAGCGCCTTTTTTTCCATAAATGAGAAAATGCGCTAAAAAGCAAGGCTTGGTTCACGCCTTGGATTAGCTTGCGGTCGCAGCACTCGATGTTCCTCCATCAACAGAGGTACACATAGGAACTCCGTCGCAAGACTATGGTCGTAAGCCGACGATCTTGTTAGAGAGCCAATCCAGCTTCAGGCGTACGATCAGTATAAAGGTAATAAAGAGAGAAGAGAAACGAGCGCCTTGTGACGCTTGGTCTCATGGTGGAGCAGTTTATGCTAGACTTAGCGAGTTTGGGCGATGAGATTTTATATACTCAAGCTAGTTAAAAAAAAAAAAAATAACTAAGATGCGTCAACAAATCCACCGAGGTTGTTACAAGTTACTGATAACTTGCATGGCAATGGGCATTTCTAAAGCATCAGACGAATACAGCGTTTTTTAAGAAATTATTTGCTGCACGATTCATCTAGCGGCAACTACAAAGAAAATAAGATATTCTCTTGGGCTTTTGTTCTGTACAATGATACCCTCTAATCATCAGTTCAGTGGTGAGCTTGAGAACAGCGAAAAAAAGAACATAAGTTGCGAAACAAGCAGAAGTCACGAGTAAATACAGAGCCAGGATGTAATGTAGGATTTCCCGAGATTCTCTTGTCGTTATTGTGGGTTATAATTCATTCTGATATCATATAACCCAATTCGGTTCAAGAGCTATGAGGCTCTTAACTTTTTATCTCTCTTATATATAAATTATTGCGCCAGTTTCATTGAAATTGAAAGGCTCACTTCAAAGTTATTAGCAGAAAACAGGCATAACTGATAAGCTCTAACAATTTCTGCACGAAATACAAAACAAACAGGGATAATCTTCCATTGGTTGAATTAGTCTCCACACTCATATCCAGGTTTAAATTTTCTATTTGCGTCTTCATGGCCCAACAGTCTAAGAGAAGGGCAAACGGATTTTAGGAACGAAAGCAATGCTTGATAGGGGCTGCACTCGGAACGACATATTTTCAAAGTAGTCATCATTCCTCTTTTTAGTGGCATAGGCGAAACTTTCCTGAGAAGTCTCAAGTTACCTAGTGCAGCAGCTTGCTATTTTTGCAGGAAATGCCGATCAAATGGCGTCAGTCTTACTTCTCTTACGAGCCTCGGCTTGCGCCGGATTTCAAACCAAAATTACTTACCCACCATAAGCAATTTAATCCGTTACTAGGGAACGGTAATCTTTTCCATCGCAGTATAGAGTACATCTAGGGTTTATTCAACAGAAAACATTGAAAGAAAATTGAATAGAATACAAAAAGCTGTCATTAACGAATCATGTTATCCCAACAAAAATGTAGATAAAAAGCAGTTACCGCTTGTCATCTGGGTGGACAGCCACAGCTGTGTCGCCGAGCATGGTCTCTATCCTGGTAGTGGCGACGACGAGGCGCTCAGCGCTGTCTTTGACAGGGTAAGCAAACTGCACCAACACGCCGAACACGACCTTGTCAGGGTGGCCTGGTACAGAGAGTTCTGTGCGTCCGGTCAGCTCTCGCTTCTCAACCTAAACAAAACAACATCTATTTCATAATAATAATCAAAAAAACATCTTTTCATAATAGGTTGACTGTGATTACACTATTTCTTTTAAATATTTAGAAGGACCAAGTAGATTATTGCAATGTGGGAGCCTCCCTGAAAAAAAATTGTCAACATTGTGCATAACATCAAACATTCAGAGACGATGAGTATATTCCAGTGACACTGAGGCGTACTTACCGATATGATTTATTAGACAAATTCTATGTGATAATGCAATTTAAAAACTTTCACCACTCTACCAAGGGTACTATGAAGCTAGGAACCATGTGGTAAGAGTTTAATTTGGAAAAACGAGAATTATCAGTTCCAAGAAAAAAATTCAAATTCAAGATTTAAAACGATATGTATAATTGTGTCATATGGACAAAGTACAAACCTTTATGTAAATATGTCATAAGTATGGCTACAAAAAAGCTATTAAAGCTGTTAAATATTTTGGATAATTCATGTTTGACATAAAATGCGGTAACTAAATTTCAATGCAACAACAAAACAGGCTGAAAGAACTCAAGTACGTATATGACAACCTTACATATATATTTTTGTGTATGCTACAAGACACACTCACTCTTCCTTCCACTGCCAGACACGCTTGACAAACTCTTCTCTGCCCAGATCATGGCGTGACTTGTTCTCCTCACGCTTGAGTTTCTTCTCCACTACGACTTGGGTGGCAATACCAGCGTGGTCACAGCCTGGCACCCACAGGGTGGTTCTGCCCTTCATGCGGTGCCTGATCAAGTGATCCACATAAGGCAAGAATACATGCAAGAAATGCTATTTGAGTGAAGAAAAAATTATGGTAATTGAACCTACAATTGTGCACAAAAATTTGCAAAAGTAAATTTTAGTTTCATTCACTAGGATAAACACATGTGATAACTTTTTTGACAAGAAGAACAATCTTGATGCAGCTACCATCTAGTGATGGCATCTTCCACCGAGTTGGTGAGGGCATGTCCAAGGTGGAGACTACCGGTAACATTGGGTGGTGGGATGACCATCACAAACTGGCCAGCAGGGTTAGGCTTACTCAGATCTCGCTGCAAATAACAAAAAAATATATATATATCTAACTCAGTACTCACTGCAGTGAGTGACAGAGTGCGCATTTTCTCATCGACAAAAACGTGAAGTCACGGATGGACAGACAGACAGACAGATGGACGGATGGACATGGCAGGCACAATAGTGCATTTTTTTCCATAAATGAGAAAATGTGCTAATGAGCAAATGAAGTACAACTAATTTATTGTCTTCATGAGAATAAATGAAATTTCAGATACATTGTTCAGATGGTAATTAGTCTAAATAAAAGAATACTCAATAAAGATAATCTGATTCCCATGTAGAGTAACTGTAGCTATAGAAAAATCAGGGTAACTGTAAATATATATTTTTTAAATGACCTAGTCACAACAATGTTCAATGATTAATTTTAACATTATTTGCTGAATGTTTTGAATATTTTTATTTTCATCATCAATATTACAGAACAAATAATGGAAACAAGAAACCTATAACCTTTTTTTTTAAATAACCAAGCAGCACAGGAATTATGCTGCCAGCTGAAAAAAATTCTCAAAACTTAAACTGTGCATCCACTCACCCCATACTCAGGCTTGAAGAATCCCTGTTTTTTCCACCATGGATACCAGGCTGCCTCCACATACTGTGGGCTGTATTGACCTGGAAGTTCAACACTCACATCTTTCTTCTCACCAGCAGGAGTAGCTAGATCATATGTGACCACAGGTTTCTGCAAAAAGCATTCATTTATATAAAAAAATAATAAGGAAAGATGCAAATTTTGATCAGTGATTTTCAAAATTGCCTGTAAAATGATAGTTTTCACCTATATTTTTTGGAAAATTCTGCTTAATATTCCATAGCTAAAAGGCATAGCAAATAAGTTTGTTCATCAAAAAATGCTTCACGAGGGTCAAAAAAAGAAATTGATGGTTCAAAAATATAGGTACTTAATACTACAGTGATCACTTGCAAAACCTAACCAGTTTGTTGGCCTATAAGGTTGGTTTTATTGCAGTTGATTTTTATAGGTGTAGATTACACATTTAATCCACACAATCACTACCATCAAACGGGGTAATAAGGGACAGGCGGGGTGAATTGGGACACACGTCCCACATTTTGTAGAAATGTTGTAGCAGCTAAACTAGGTAATCAAAATATTGCAAAACTAAAAATAGTGGCATAAACTTCAACATTTTTACTGTCAATTATGTAGTATAAAGATAGTTAAGAAATCTACTATCTCTAAAAAATAGCTGAAAAAAGTGTGAAAAGTGGGATTTTGGAAAGTACCTCTACTAAGGTCTGGAGCAAAAAAAAAAATATTTGCTGTATAAAAAAAATTAATTCCATAAAAGTTGCACTGACTTGCACACAGGTGTTGGCTTGAAAATGTGATTGATGGAATTTGCCTATCACATTCCCCAAAAAATGGCAGCCATTTCTGCATGATAGGGTAATAAGGGACACCCCCAACGGGGTAAGAAGGGACACCCTTAAAAATGCATTTACAGTAGAACCTCAGTTAGCAAAGGCTCCAGTTAACAAGAAAATTGATTAACAACAAAGAATTTTGATTACATTTACCTTGTTCAGCAAAAAAATTTCACTTATTGAAAAATTAGTGCATCATTGGTATCATAAAATTGTGCATAGAATGTCATATATAGAATTGTGCACTGGGCATCATAGAATGAAAAGTAATTGACCTAAACTATGATTTATTTCTTCAAAACATATTATGGTGTCATTAAAACATTCCTTTCTGTTTTACATATATTTTTAACGATCTTTTTTTATAGTGAATTCACTTAACCCAATTAAAGTGGTGTGAAATTATAAGCCATCTTGTAAGCTTACATATACAGAAGAAATACTATATGGCTGCTGATATGCCACACTCAGGATGATGTATATTTTCGGTGAATTTTCCCGCGCATTTTCACTTTTTTAAGCTATTGCTGTGCACAGTTGGCGCAATGTAATGAAAATTGATTATCTTCGCGCACGTGTTTGCGCAATCCCGGCCATCTTTATTTTAGAAGAAATTTTCTCCAAAGTCATATGGCAACACTGAACACCGTCTGTTTACATTTCGTATGCATAACAGCCGCAGTTTACGATTACCGTACATTCCGTATCTGACAAGGCGGACAACCGGAAGAGTCAGAAGTAACCCGGACATGTCTTACATTTTATTATTGTCAGTTCGACTTGCGTAGTAGTCAATATACTCGCGTATATTGTCGACTAAAATAGTAGAACTATTTTAGCTTTCTAAAGTACGGCGCACGGCGCATTTTTTTACCAACGTAGTATGGCGCACCGCGCAGGTCGTTAAAATGACAAAATAAATTCCCGCACACCTGGCACATCTTCCTGACCATGGCTGATATGAAGCTTGCAGTTGACAAGGTCATTGTAAATGCTCAATGGCTGCATGGCTTGTTCATGGATACGGTAATATCACATCAATAATACGGTAATTAATGAATATGGTAAATTGGTAACATCATATCAATAAAGGAAAAACAAGTAAAAATCACAGAAATCAGAAAATATTATTTATTCTACATTTACATCATCTACAAACTACAAAGAACAAGGAGGACTTTGGAGTACTGTTAGTAATGTATGAGTACACTCTAAAGTCTGAATGCTTCAAACATTTTAAAATTGAGTTTTATTGCAAGTGTCCCGGTTTTCCCCATTACAAGGGCCGGCAAGGGGTAATTCAGGATGCTTTTATTTTGCGTCTGGCAGACTGGCACCTCATATAGGCTATAGCATATAAAATTTTTTGGAAAATGCAGATGCTATTTGATAGCCCTCTTAAAGAGCTTTTAAATGAGCCCAAACTCATTTCTGAAATGTTTCATGGTACTAAGAAGTTATTAACAAAAAAACGCTCAAAACTGTCCCTTATTACCCTGCTTGATGGTATAGGGTTGATTTATTGTTGAAGTTAATAATTTTTTTAATAGGCCTACCTAGGACTAGGAGCTAGCCTGCTAGGTAGCACCAAAGTCAACAATTTGTGGTTATAAAATTATAGCAATGGCTCACAAGTTGGAGGGTAGGTACTGGGTAGTACCTACTGCCAATGCCAAATTGGCATTGACAGTACTACCCTCCAACTTGCAATATTACTTCCAAATATGATGTAAAAACTCGTACCTAAGTTAATTTCAGTCATAATCAAATTTCAAGTTCACAAATGAAACAGATCCAAAGGGATCATCAGTTCAGTAAAGTGCCTAGGCATAACTAAGCCTAAGGAAATCACGTCTCTAAAGTTTGCAATAAACTTTGCATCATAATCAATGTAATCAATCATACCTCTTCCTTCTTCGGAGGTTTTTTCTGGTTCTCCTTAGACTTTTCAGGTTGCTTGCTGTCAGCAGTTGCAGCAACTTTCGCCTGTTTTTCATTGAATTTGGCTAACTTAGCTGCCTTTTTTGCTTCTTTTTCAAGCTGTTTGGCTGTTTTAGGAGTTCCATCTTCATTAAGTGCGTTATTTTTAACCTCAAGGTCAGACATGACGTTAAATATAGTAAAAATTGAAGGACGTTTTATTTATTTATCGAATTAATTGGCCGGTCCTAAGCTCGCACGCTCATGTTGCCGCAGCCCGTTCCGTACGAACTACGAACGTGAAAGTGCAATCACTGCGATGCATCAATTAGTGCGTAAAGCTATTCTCAAACTTTCTGACGCAATATAAATATAAAATTATATACACTTATGTTTACTTAAGTAAACTGTGAAACCAAGGGACTTGTGACTAATCAATAACATTAAGAATTAAATTTTGCCAACTGTCAGAAAATTTTCATAGAATATTTGATAAATTTACTTACGGAGTTATGAATAAAAAAATGTAAATATTCATACCCAACAGCAAAATATGTCTAAAAATGGGTAACATGATAATGATAAATATCAGTATGGAAATGCAAAGTTTGATTTTTTTTCAACAAAATTCGTAAATTCGGCGGATTCCTACGCTTGTAGAGCCTAACAAGGCCCACGGGGTATATAAATGAACGCTTTGCACCTGCCCTACCAGTTCGGGAGCTGCTGTCGTCGTTTGTTGAGGTGCCACATCGGTCCAGCCTCTAATATCTATTTCCTAATATTGATTCAAAACTTTGCACATAACTTAATTTTTTGCATTCTAACACATCATACGCGTATTTTAACAAAGTTCCTGACCTAATTTTAACTTTTGCCGCTGTACAGACTTTTTTAAGTTTGTAATTCCGGCTTTTACGTTAGATTTTTTACTTCATCGTTTATACCAAGAATCATGAGGTAAGTTCACAAAACGCAAAATAGCACCATAATTTCGGCACCAAAAGCAATAACTCTAAGACTAAAGTATATATTTGCTTTAACCTGTCATATTTTGAGTGGACTATCTAAATTGATGCTAAACTGTGTCCTGATTGAACCTCATTTATTATGAACGCATATCCTATTTTAAGTTGGAACTTTGGAAGCATCAATTATAGTATTGCGGCAGGTTTTTTAGGGGCAATTTAGAGGCAATACCGGTAGCCGTATTGCCAATACGGCTACCTCAGAATTGATGGACAACTAGCGTTATACGCAATTTTTCACTGATAATTCTCAGGATGTCCTTGATTTATTTCATGTTAATTTCAACCGGTAGTCAATTGCCTATGTATAGTCATCGGGCGTATCGTGTAGGTTAGAGCTCACTGCGTCCTCGAACGACCAGGATATCCTTCCAAAATCCAAATGTCCAGTTTTGCTCTTGTGTTTTTGTATGACTGATTATGAGACAGTATGGGTTTTGTTTTTGTTTATTCAGATTACCGCATGTCTAGCTCAAGAGGCCCATGGTAAAGTGAGTAAAATGATGCTGTTTTGCCGTCTCCATGTGTGTTCTCGTTTTTCAATGACTTGTTTGGATCAGCCGGGCAATATGGCTGACCCGTTATAAGCAGATAGTCTTCATGCTCTATTACATAGTACGACATTAACGACAAATCGTTCTCTTCATTTATTGCGCTAATTATTATATTATAATGTATTAGCAGCGTAGCTAGCCGGTGAATTCTGTCAAATTTATTTTTCTTTCGCAACTTTCAATTACCTGTATTTTCTAGGAATCTAGTTTCTAATTATTTGCCTGAAGGTCAGAACTCGGGCGAAACCTCTAGCTCGCCACAGTCGCGGCTACTAACAAAATGGATTGAAGTCAGACAATTGTTTTAGAATAGACGAGTCATCGCTTCCTGTTGCTCGACAAACACAAGTTTTATATTTCAGGGCCGCCAGTCTTCCGGGTGCCGCAAAAATAGAATAATTACTCATAAATAACCCGTCAGAATTAACGCTCTGCAACTTACCTAACCATATTAGCCTTTTTGGTCCGTTTTATGTGCGGTGAAAGAAGGAACTTTATTCGACGATATCGAATTGGATTTCAGCAAAGGCCAGGAATGACAAAAAATTGCTGCCCGAAGCTTTTGAACGTTAATCAATTATCAGTTTATTTTATACGTGTTGCTGCAGTTATGGGTATTGTTTTAACGTTACGTGGTCCTGTTAATGCAGAAAATGCCGTTTAAATGAAGTCAGATCACAAGGAAACAAATTTTCATTAATTCTCTAACGTTTTAAGCCGAACCGTGTTGTCGAATTTCGAGCTTTTTCCCTCCTAACGAAGATGTGTGGATCCGTGTAATAATTTTTCAGATAGCTTGAACAAAAACACGTTAGTTAAGGAATAAATTTGTAGGCCCAGTTAAATTCTCTAGAGCGCATTCTGTGTACCATAGAACTTACGTGAGTTGACTGCAAACCGAACCACCTTTTCGACCCTTTACGAAGCTTACGCTTCTTTAGTCCGTAACACGATACACAGGAGCATAGCTCTCAAAGGTCCTCTGCAAGGTTCTGCGTTATCCTGACTTTCCGGTTTTTAAATGACCAACTAATAATGGAACCTGTTCCTCGTTATCAGGAACTATCGATTAATAATTGTTTTTAAATGAATCACTAAAATAAATGTATTGACCAAATTATTGGTAGCCTTGGTTGTGAGACACAACTAGGATACTGCTTCCGCTAACTACTGTGTTCAAGACAGCATGGCTTTATCATGCATCCGTTGACAATCGCTTCCGTTGACAATCGGATCAACCTGCAAAACATCCTCTCTGTACGGCCTGCACAACAAATTAACTCGAGCTCATTATACGAAGGGTACCAGTGCAAATAATTTTTTTCATGACCTGAAAACAAATTTTGTTATCATTGTTTACACAAATGTTTGTTTTTTTAAGTAATTACACTTTGTTTCAGGTCTATCGATTCTCCTCGATCTTAACTTTTTTGAGAAAGTTAGAAGGCTGAGAGGTTCAGGTTCGGCTTAATTAAAGAAGATCACCAGTGGGCTTGTCTGGTCTCGCTACCTCTAAAGTACAGACTCCCACAGAACTTTATCTACTTGAAAGACAGGCTGCCTCACATCCTTCACTATGTTTAAGCTACCGTGTTGTCTCAGCGTCTCGTTGGACTGTAACTTTCTGCATGATTTCAATAGTCACGGTCTATAAGTTCCCTTCAATGTCGAGTGAAATTTTCGAGAACACTAAGCGATATTTTTTATCTTCCTGACCGGATTGGAATGTCAGATACAATTTTTAAAATCGATTCTATTCGATAATTATTTATTTTTGACTTGTACTACATGCTAGCTGCATTTTTTATCTTGATTATGCATCCCCATTCGATTAGCGAATTAAAAGTACAAGGGTATTAACCAATCCGTTACAAAATTGCGTCATAAAGGACGCCTGAAATGTACTTGAATGAGCTGCTGGTCAATCTGTTCATTCATTGGCTTGGCAAAATGAAAGTGGTTCGCAGATGAATTTTTTACATCGCCTTCTGTGCTGTACACATATACTCGGTTCATACACTCCTAATCTTCTAATTCTTCCGACATCTTGCAGTCAGATGTGTTTCGCATTAGAATGAACGTGTTTATAGAGACCTTGCAGCTAACTTCACTACGTAAGATCTTCGAACCATTGCACACCAAGCACATCGCGCGCGACCTCATCTCGTGATCTACTTAAATTTCCTGGAGTAGTGACGTAGGAGCTAGGAGGGCTCGCTGTCAATTTAGTTGTCGATACGTTTCCGACTATGAATAAATGAACAAGTGGATGGAGTGAGCGCTGTTGGGCGTTTTAAAGACTGGAATGAATTTGGGATTATTTACTTGTTACACTTTGTTTTGTTTCGGATTAAATTACCTGCGATGCAGCGTTGCTCTGATAACATCCCAGTATTCTTAATACATCAATTTCGTGTCCGCATGCGTGGCAATCTGCAGTCGTCGTGGCTACCGCTGCTGCTTTTAGTCGAGTATTTTTTCTGGCGTCCTGTTGGGAAGACTAGGGGAAATCCCCATGAAAGTACCTACCAGTGAAGAGACAGCTTTTATATGACATTGAAGTTTTCTTCGTTCAGGATCATAATTGGGGCTTAGCGTAACGTGACGTCGCTGTCGTGGAAAATCCCGTTCTACTCTTAGGGGAATTCTGTCATTGATTTATTCAGTGGAATCAAAGTTCTTTCGTCTCTCCTCAACTAACTTCTCGTTTCATGGCACCGAATGTTACTAACCGTAGTATCGAAACAATTTGTAGTAACACAAATCTTGCGCATCATTATAGTCAGAGTTCTTAAGTTAAAATTTCTGTTTTGTAAATAATTTTTTATCAATTCTGCCACCCTAACGTAACTTGAGATTTTTCGCATATTTTGTTGAGAAGTATTCCTGCATTAGAAATAAATTTTTGCATTCCTAAAAAAAGCTAATAGCCTTGCCTAGTAAAATTCCTGCATTTTTGACTACGCAAGACTACCGTAGATCCTGCATGTAGTTTTTGTGGATACTTGGGGACTTTTACCTTGAGCGTCGTACTTGAGTATTTGAATCACGTTATAGGTGCTGGAATCCGAAGCTGATTGAATATTGGTATTCCCCTCTGCTTGGCAGCAGCGAAATACTCTACGTTAACTGAATTGAACTGATCTTATTGTCACGTTTGAAGGAATTATACTTAGGTTAAATCTCTTAAAATATTCTTATAAGATTGTCACAAATGATTGCGCTGCATTGTTTAATTTGTATCTTCTTTGCGTTGAATTTTAAACTTGTTACATATTGCGGTAATGTTGCAGATTGATAATTAACAAGTATCCATACATCTTAATGTAAAATGAAGTAGCATAATTTGGGAGACATTTATTTCCGACACATTTTGTAGAGCTCAACAATAATGGTCGGCATTATGGCTTGCGGCTCTGCCTGACAAGCATCCCGTCTTGTGTACAATTTTGTACAGAGCCAATTTCCACTGCATTCTAATCATGCAGGCAGCGCTGTGTGGATATCCTTGTGTACAGCCAATTAAGACTACACTTTGATCATTCAAGTACCGCTGGAAAATTCTCATGAAGGCTCGTCTGTTCCTGTCAATTTTTTTTTGTTTTAATAACGATTCGTGGGTCATTTTTGACGAACTCTTTCTTATTATATTCTAAACCACGTATCAGATTCAATTTCTGGAAATTCTCGAACCTTTTGTATTGTCTCTGCAGCAAGAATGAACCGCGCAATGGTACAACAAATTTAATCCTTGAGGAGATAGCAAGGTATTTAGAAACTTTAGAGGCACGCGGAACTGAGCACACTCTTCTTATTATTTTCCGGCTGAGGTTGGAGAACGATCTCAGTTCCGAGAAATTGTAAGGCAGCTTTAGTCCAGACAACTGCAGACATCCGCAGTTTCCAGTCCTGTTGCGCATCGCTGCATCGTCTTATTTTTGTAAACCTGCTCGCATTTTTTTTTAGAGCCACTCAGGAGTTGCCGTAAGCCATGAGCTGGCCACAGCACGGACGCTTTGGCCGTTTAGTCTCCAATGCAAGTCCTTATAATTCTTACAGAAAATAGCGGAGTGGCATATGGACATAATGTGACATATATAGAGGGGCATTGATTACATGCGTTGTATTATCAATGCATATTAATGTTTTGTGTACAAACGTGTTCATCAAAAATAGGGGACTAAGTGTAGACTTTCTTTGGGAAAATATCGTCAGCTTCACAGCTGTTAGCAAAATCCCCGTATAACTAAACTATAAGTCATTGCCGAGACCACGATCTTTATAAAGTTGACAAGACGCAAATTTTTCTAACAATATCTATTTTTTAGTTTTAGCAAAAACCTAATTGAATGGGTATTCTCGATGTGGCGGTCGTAACGCACCGTGATCATTTTAACTCGTCTGACGTGCGTCAACTCGGTCCACGTCTGCGAATGGCCTGACGTGGTTGGATTGCATCCTGTGATCGTCTCCGACACTGCGGACGACATTGTGAGCATTTCAAGTCTCGCGTACGTTTTTTGTCTATTTCTTGAACCACGGAAGCGTGAAGGTTATCCAAGCATCGCTGCAAATCTAGCGGCGCCATCACCCCGGCCGATAAAGATTCGCAAGAATTGGAATTTCATATTTCAATTTTCAAATTTAAAGTAGGAAGCACTCGCGAAGTTAGATCAATTTTACACATACTTCATTCCAGTTATCATTGAATCTACCATAAAGGCTCTCATAACTGTTGACGTAATATTGATTCGCGCATTTGATGCCAATTGCAAACACTGGGAACAGAGTTGTGTTGTCGTGTTCAGTTTCAATTAGTGAAATAAGTTAACATTCCGATGTGTGCTCTACTGGGCGTTACAGTTTTTTTTTTCGTTACCACGCGTTGTCTGAGCTTCCTATTTTATTGTTCTTTTTAGAGGACTATTAAAATTTTTTCTCGCGTTTGAAATTATGCTCTGTGAAATGTGTGTTGTGATGACCTCAGGTCAGTGACGCTGATCGCGTTGCTGGTGGTGCTGACGGTTGTAGGGCAGGCAGCGGGCCAGCAGCCCGCCCCCAACAACGATCAGGACACGCGGCTCGGTCTAATCGCCAACCAGATCGGCGTTCCTCCCGTGCCAGGTCTGGGATCATGGCTGTATTTTTATTTTGAAAAGTACTAATAAATAAATTAGTGACTTTGCAAAGTCAATCAAATGCAATAAGCAAAGTTGCAAAATTTGTTTTTTTTTATATAGTGATGATAAGGCTGGTAATTATAACCAGCTAAAATTACGTTAAGTAAGTTTTCAGAGAAAGATGAATGTTGCTAAGAAAGTTTCTCAAGCAGCAACTGCTTCACAGTTTGCCCCTAAGATCTAGCGACATCAAGTAAAAAGATCTCGTACATGATATCGTTTCCACAAACTGCTTCATTGTCATCGTTGTACCAGTACAATTCAGGCGACATACATTGAGGGCTGGATTTTGTGCATATATTACTTTAGGTTTGGAAGTTAACTGAGCTTTAGTGTCTTCCAAGGTATGTTCACAGGTCCGGTTCATTCGTGAACCACTAGTTAGGTTTAATCAGGTTTGGACTTTTCTCTCTAGGAGCACTCAATCATACTAAACCATACAGCTTTCGCGTTACAACTTAAGGCTATTCCATTTATTGTCTATTATTTGTAATAATGTTAATTATGAGGATCAGTAACATTACTGAGAGAGTATATTTCTATAGTAAATATTTGATGCGTGTCACGTGTGTGTGGGCAGGTGGTATCCCGGTGGTGGGCATTGGTAGCCAGTTCCCAGGCGGGTTCCCAGGGCGCG